CCAAAGATCAAGAAACAAGTGGCTGAAAGAATGAGACCTAAATACAAAATTTCCCATGCGCTTGCTAGTGTTAAGAGAAGGCAAAATGACATTTCGGGTCTCAATATCTCAATGCTACCATGGAGGGTGGTATTATTCAACACTTCAAGGCTGTTTTTTCTAAGGAGGTGTCTTTGACCCCTAATTTTGATAATGTTATTTTAGACTGTCGGATACAGAGCGTAAAGTTGTTTTGGAAAATGATATCACCATTGAGGAAGTCAAAATTGTAGCTTTTTGCAATGCATGGTGAGAAGGCACCTGGCTAGGATGGTTTCCCTTTGTTTTATTTCCATAAATTTTGGGATCTTGTCAAAGATGAATTATTGGTATTGGTGACAGAGTTTTTCATTGGAGATCACATATTTAAAGGAATTAACTCAACCTCCTTCGCTTTGATTCCTAAAAATTCGTGATCAGAGAGATTTTTGATATTAGACCTATCAGTTTGCTCACGAGTGTTTATAAAATCATTACTAAAGTTCTAGCTGAGTGACTAAAAGGGGTCCTAAAAAATCATACGGTCTCTAGCAGTTGAGATGGAAGCTTATACACCAACTCGTACACTAAATGGGCCCTAAGATCTCTAGCAGTTGAGATGGAGGCTTATACATCAACTCCTACACTAAATGGGCAGCCTCTCGGAGCTCTATAAAATCGGTATTTTTTTCCTATACGAATTACATTTTTCTCACACCATTCTCTGCGAAATTCTAGAGAGCATGAGAGAGCACTCATCTCTCTCTCTACTTGTTTTTCTCGCTTTCTCTCTCTAAATAACACAAGACTCAGGTGTCTACTATGGGCTTCAAGCTCGGGTGCATAGAGCTTTGGAGTATCAAAATAGGCTCTTATGTTTTCCTATATCCCGATGATGATTTGTCTTTCCTTATTCACATTATTTACAGTATCGAAAGGGGGCAAATATTGTCTTGAAATAACGTTTATACATGCCTGAAAATAAAAAGGATTCAAGCTATATTTTCTTAAGAAATTGATCATATAATACGAGAGAAGAGTCTTCTCACTCTACAATGAGAGAGAAAGGGAAAGGTTGTGCTGGCACTCGATAAAATTTACAACCTATTATCCATATTAATATCCATATGGAAATTTAAGTTTTTTATATCTCTTTGTTGACAATGGTGCTATGATCCTATGGTAGCATTTATTCCAACCACTTATTGGAGTAAAATTTGATTTAGGAATGCTATTTGCTGCCCTAAAATTTCGAGGATGCAACCTAGCGACCTATCTTCATACAAAAAAAAGAAGATATTTGTACTTGCTCGTAGAAATAATGCCCTAAGAACAAGTAAAGCCCGTCTAATTTTTTTTATGGTTAGATTTGAGTGTTTAAGAACTTAAAATTGATTTTATTTCAAAGGCATTTACTCATATTGAACTGTTCTAAGATTTGTCATGCAAGTCTCCTGAGACAAACTCAAGAGCCCCTTAGAACGGTCCAGCCCGATCTTAACACCGAGCACATGATGCATCTTTACCCATATCCTTCATATCAAAGTTGTTGGAGGACTACTCCTTAATGGCGTCAATCTTCCTTGTCGCTGCCTGTCATCGTAAATTCGTTTACATACCACAACAAAATCATGAAACTTTCCTTACAGTGTTTGACATATGGTCCTGCTCAATCATTGAAAATCCGTATGAGCCCACAACCCTATAAAATTTCATATACCACTAAGGATTTTTTTCAGTCCATAAATGTACTTGGCAAGTTTATAGACATTTTGTTCCTGTGCATGGATAAGTTGATCCCAAATCTCATATTAAAGAAATCCTTATAGGTAGCAATTTCACCCAAGCGAGCGAGTGTATAGTGTGCTCACAAGTGATTTGTTTTTTTTTTTGTAAATACCAATCGATCACCAAAACTACCCAAAACTGAAACCGGCTAATGGACAGTTCCAATCTAACCTGGTGATCACGATTGAATCGCCTGATTTTTCTAACAGTGATATTCTCACACCTTCCACAAAAAATAAATTGTTGCTTTGAATTTTCTAGACTACCTCTTCCTAAACTCTCTTTGTAGGTCAACTTCATTCCCAAAAGGTCCTACTCAATGGTATCAAATCCGAGGGCTGTTTGTTCTGTCTAGGAAATGGAAGCACTTCATTCAACCAGGTTAGCAAAAAATTTACTATGTATTATTAAAAATAAGAAGTAAATTTGAAAAAAAAGATAAATTTAGAGATCTAGAGATGTGGCAAGAATTTTACGTTAGCTGCCAACCTAATACAATTCTTCTCATTTCTCATCCCGGGGCAATTTTTGGGATATTTTATATAAATATATATTGAAAAACTATTGAATGTTTTGCATGGATATTTCCAAGAACTTCTATTATCAAATCATGAATATCTCAAGGATACATTTGATACAATTAGTGATTCTTTCGAAACACTAGGGAGTGATTCGTTGCTTCAGTTGAACGGCTGGATTCAGCCGAAGCAAAGTGAATCCACTGATATTTCTCGTACTCTCCTTGAATGACACATGTCCCACCCTTATTTCAGGTGTATATATATATATATATATATATATATATATATATACTTTGAACTAGAAGGTTGTAAGTCCATAACCCTCACCTCCAAATCCTCTTAATCCCATTTAAAGGGTGTTCAACTTTCAAATTAACACACAGGGCCTCTTTGGATAGGAGAAGATTAGGAATCTTAGATATTTGAAATCCAGAAAAATTTATGGATTTTCAATATTAAAGATTTTTGTCATGAATTTCTCAAATATCTTGTTTAGATAAATTGTATAAAATCTATGGATTCCTTGCAATCACTTCTATGTTCATTGTTTGATAACAAAACTTGATACAATTTCTCTCTCTAAAATTTTTATATATGTTCTCTCTCTGGAACTAAAAATTTGGGAAGTGTATCTATAAAATATTTGAGATAGTTTCTCTCTAAAATTTGATATGGTTTGTCTCTCTAAAATTTTATATACTCTCTCTCTCTATAAATTGTTTTAGGTAGTTTCTTTCTCTAAAATTTACTATAATTTATACTTTTAAAATTTTAATATATTTTATTTTTCTAAAATTCAAAATTCAAGATAATTTCTCTCTAAAACTCAAAATTTGAGATAGTTTCTCTCTCTAAAAAAATGAGATACTTCTCGTATATTTTATTTTTGGCCATTTCTCTTTCTAAAATTTATAACAGTTTATTTCTAAAAGTTTAAGAATACTTTATCTCTCTACAATTAAGAATATTTATCTCTCTAAAACTTGATATAGTTTATCTCTAAATTTTTTTTGAAATTGTTTCTACTTCTAAAAGTTTTTAGGTACTGTCTAAAATTTGATATAGTTTATCTATCTAAAAATTAAAATATAAGATTGTTTCTCTCTCTAAATTTTTTGAAATAGTTTCTCTCTAAAAATTGAGAAAGTTTATCTCTAAAAAGTTGCATGTAATTTCTCTATCTAAAATATGATAGTTTATCTCGAAAACTTAAAATTTGATATAGTTTCTCTCTCTAAAATTTGAGATAATTTCTCTCTCTAAAATTTGAGATAGTTTATCTCTCTAAAAAATGATATTTTCTCTCTCTAAATTTTTAACATTATGTCTCTCTCTAAAATTTAACATACATTCTCTCTGAAAAAGTTAAAATTTGATATAGTTTTTCTCTTTAAAATTTTGAGATAGCTCATCTCTCTAAAAAAATTTGGTACTTTTATCTCTAAAATTTTAACATACTTTCACTCTCTAAAACTTAAAAAATTGAGATAGTTTTTCTCTCTAAAATTTTTGAGATAGTTTATCTCTTTAAAAAATTTAGGTGCTTTCTCTCTTTGAAATTTTCGTACCTACCAAATGCTCCCTATATTTCGAGTCGAGGGAACCAATGAGTGAAATCTACGGGCCTTGGAAATACAAAGAAACAGGTTTTGGTGCGAAAATAAAACCATGGAAAGGTAGGTATTATTTCCATGATTTTGATTTTCTTGATTTGAAGTATCCTAGTCATTAAACAATCCCGTGGATTTTGACAATATCTAAAATATTAAAAATCCATGCCTTAAAATCCATGTACCCAAACAGGCCCAAAGAGTGATCAATGCCAATGAACAATTTCAAAGAAATTTTTCTCCAAGGGAGATCGAAATAGCAATAAAAAAAATCTGATCAAATACTCTAACCTTCCAAGACCAATACATGGAGGAAAGGGCTTCATAGAACTGAACATCTTTTTGCTATCGAGTATCAACATCTAAAAAAATAAAATAAATCCCATTACCAAGTTGGACGGGGACCTAGCTTATCTGAAAACTTAGGCTAATCCTCAAGAATGTTTTATACAAGTTCCATTTTCACTCATATCAATGGAAAATCATAAAGGGTGTTTTGCTCAGCTTATGTTGAGAGTCCTGGTAGCACTATAAATATACTAACTTCAAGATTTTCCTCGAGGTATACATAATTAGTAAAAAAAGAGTTGTTGTACCAAATCATGAATAATAACAGATTTAAAAAAACTGCGATTTTTGTTGCCATGATATCTCCAAAACCAGTAAGAAATTCAAAATATATTTAAAATATCAAAATTTGAAGAATTTTGATCAGTTTAATATTCTCACAAAATTTTGATCAATTAATATTTTGCGTTTCTGTACTCTATATACGGCTTCCAAATGCCGCAACTGTGGGCTGTCACTTTCCAACTTTCTAGTGCAATTAATGGCGTGTGTATTTTGGAGGGAGCCAAATTTCTCTAGTTATTTTTTTTTTTTTTTTTTTCCTTTTTACAATTAAGAAATTGTATTATTTTATGGAAATGAATCAAATGTCATCAAAATTGTATTGCTCTACATTAATGGAATAGAAAGTTGTAGGCAAAAACACATCTAAACTATTTTTTTTCAAGACTTGAGATTAAAGGAATAAATCATACAGAAGTACATGAGCTGTGTCTCTGTCAATGACTCAAGCACAATAATTTTTATAAATAATATAACCCAAATATTACATTGGCTCAAGTCAATTCAAGATGAAAAGAGTACAAAACCAATAAATGATACAGAGATATCTCTACAAAAATAAATTAAGAGAATAGACAGAAGAAAATTACAAGGAGAAAAAAATGAAAAAAAGCAAAGCCACCATGACTGCTCTCATGGACAAAATCAATACCCCACTTGAAGAAACCTCGATTTGTATCGGGAACTTACATGGATCTTGCGATGCATTTTGTGTGGTCACGACAGCCAGCCCTCCAAAATCACAACTCTCATCCTTATGGCCTTGTACTTGGTAATACATATTGAAAGCATAAGAGGCATTCCCTTGAGCATCAAGTTTATTGCAAGTAGAGCCATAACCAAGAGAAGTGCAATCTGAGTAGGTACATGCATAGTTTATATTATCAGGCAAAGTGCTCATATCCTTAGCATTTGTATTAAGCACACACCATTGTGCAGGCAAATACTTCACATTATTGGCCCCTATAGGGAGACTGCTTTGTCCCTGGCCTGAGAGGTCCATTGGGAACTTGGGCTGTCCATCATACGAAAATATTCCCCAGTGGCGCTCAAAGTTACCTGGGGCTATGCTCTTTGCATCTTCATCTATGAGGCCAAACAAGTATACAACTAAGTGGCCAGGCCTTAATGGGGACCCTTTGTTTTGGGCTAATCTTTTTAACAGCCCGTTATAAAATCGCTGGGCATAAAGAGAGGTAGCAAACATATCCCCATCTGTTGGCCAACCCACTTCTCCAATCAGTATTGGGAGGTCTGGGAACCCAGCTGCTCTTAAGGATGAAACCAATGTGTCAAAATTGGCATCAAATACATTATCGTACATGACCCCATTATCGTCAACGGGTTTGCTAGTTCCATCGAAGAAGGCATAATCAATCGGGAAGCCAGTGTTCCCATATAAGCTGAGGTATGGGTATATGTTGACAGTGAAAGGAGCATTGCTATTGTTGAGGAACTGAACAATTTGAACCTGCCATGAGAAATTTTGCGAGACTGAGTCAAAAGTTGGAACTAAAAGAAGCTACATTGGAACTCATCCAGAGAAGGAAAATAAGCTGGCTGAAAGAAGGCAGCTTCGTGTGTATCTATACGGAAGGAGTAATCCTTTTGTATCTACATGGACAGAGTAATCCTTCATAATATGAAGATATGAACTATGGATTTTGAACTTAATCTCGAAGAAGGATTGGAGAGCAAATTATGTAATGGAAAGTTCTCCCGTCCACATCATGTGCACGGTGGAAGGGCACACAGGCACCCTTCCTGCAGTTCAGATTGAATCACACCACATCTAGCGGTTCAAATTCAATCTCAAATTTATTTTTTTATTTTTAGTTAAAAATTATTTTTGCCTGAAAATTAAGGCTTATATCTTTTTTACAAGTCACAGAAAATAATAATAATAAAATTTTTATTTTAAATAAAACAACTGACCAAAATAGCCCCAAAATATTTGGAGTATTTTAGTCAATTTATTTCATTCAATTTATATTTCATTATTTTTATTTGCAATTTAAAAATAAATATGTATCCTGAATTTCAGGTAATTCTTTTTAAAATTAAAAATAAAAAATAAAAATAAAATAATTTTGGACCGTTAGATGTGGCATGGTTCAATATGAACCGTTGAAGGGTGCTTCGTCCACATCATGTGGACGCTACACCATCCCATATGTAATATACACCACAAAATTTGATCAAAAGGAATGTTATGCCCACCTATAATTCTCAAGATTATAGACAAGAAAGGCACATGTAATATACCCATGTTTTCAACATCTTGACAAAATTTATGACATCAATATTGCTTACCCTAATAGGCTAACACTAACAACACAGTTGAACTGTTACTTGATAAAAACAGTTGACACAAGCTAATTCTCAAATAACATAAATGATAATGTTTTCAAATTATTTTTATTGGATATGATAAACAGTACCATGAGGTCATTAATATCTGATCTGAATCGGCCAGCTGAGGGGACACTGTTATCCTTAGGGGAGTCATACACATCAGCGTTTAAGGGCACAGTGGCCTTTATCGTGTCCCCAGCTCCTGCTTCATTGAGAGCATTTTGAATATTCTGAAGAGCAGGGAAAGTAGTGTTCAAGAAGGACCCATTATAAGACTTGAGAAAAGGCTCATTTCCGACTGCTACATACCTGTAAAATAAAAACCAGTTACTGCATCAGTTCATGAAACTTCGAAAAGAGGAATCTAGAACCACAAGGCATAGTACAACCCAACATAAATTTTGATTTAAATAAAGCCTCCAGATCAATAGTCAGTGTTTTTCCACTTGATACAAAAAAATGCCATATTGCATGTCACAAAATCTCCGAAAATATTAGGAAAATAACAGATTATAAACCAGGGTGACAGTGGCATACTGAATTAATACAATTTTTTTTCAAATCAAGTAATCTAATCCCATAAGGCATATTTCAAACCACAGTAAATTTCATAAATGAAGACTTCCAATTTCATAAGGTTGCAAAATTTCCATAAGGAGAGAAACAGAATATTATAAAGGGTGTCAAATATTGCTGAGCAATGCACTCTTAGGACAAATGTTTTGCTTATAAACCACAGGAAAACCTTAAACACTTCAAACATCATATAAGTAACTGTAAACAATTTTAAATAATTTAAACCAGAATACTCCAAAGTATGGCTTCTGATGTTGACCAAAAGGACTGAACTCATATCAATCATAACAAAAAACATCCAGAAAAAAAAGAAAAAACAATACAGACCTAAAGGATATTGTAATTAGGAGTCCACTGAAAATTTAGAAAAGCATAAAAAATATAACCCGATAAATTTAGCAATTTACAGGGAATCCATCATACCAAGCATTATACATAAATTTACAAGGAAAACAAACCAAAAGATTACAAAAACATGGCTATCTGTTATTTCAGATCTAAAACACTCAAATAAAGATTATAAAAACATGAGTAATTGACGGGAAATCCATCCAAAACTAAGAATAAAAATTAATCAGCAAATTTATAAATATATAAACAAAAAATTGACAAAGGTTATATAACTAGAAAACCATCCAAATTATAGACAAATTTCAGAAAAAGGAAAATCCACTATTTCATTCATCCGAATTCACAACGAAAAAGAGATAAAAATCGAATGTAAATCAATAGTTACCACCATTGTCCAATATCAATTAGTAAATTACCATATGATTTTAAAAGAGTCAAGGCGACCAGGAAATATATTGGTGGTTATTCCAAAAAAAACACAAAAGCATCCAAAGCTATACCAAACCATACAAACAAATTCATCAAAAATTCCAAATAAGATCAGCTAAGCAGGTGCTACTGATAAACAAATATTACTAGGAACATGTATTACATTCACTATCAAAGAAAAATAAAAAAAATCAACAGAGTTTCCTTATTGTATTCTTCGTTGCCAGAAATCAACCACTCGATGAAACTCAAATAGATATCTTCTATTTTCATCCAAAAAATCAATCACTCAATGAAACTCAAGTAGATATCTTTCATTTTCATCCAATAAACCATCAAAATCAATAGGAGAATTATAGAAGTGAGAAACCAACATACTTGATGTTTACTCCCCCATCGAAGTTGTATAGAGTAATGTTTCTGTCAACCCATCTCTTTGCTGTTTCATAATCATTCATGGCTTCAAGCTGATTATTCGGGATCGCAACCATGACCTCAATACCACTACCAGCAAGGGAGCTCATGGTGCTTTGATCCGCATCAAAAAGCTTCACCTTTTGAAATCCATTGTCTTTAAGGAGCTGAACAACTGTATCAGGAGGAAGGCGGCGAATCGCCATTGTACCCCAATTTACTCCTATTCCGTCTATCATACACCCCACATAACCAACCATGAAAACCCATATCAGAAGCCGGAAAATACCCATTTCCGGCATGTTTTCTCACCGGAAAAACCTGAAAGGTGGCAGGCAATGCAGTTGGGGAAGGTGGAAACCACGTTTGTGAACAGAACTCGCTTAAAACTTTAGGATAACTTGGTTCTTGACTTAGAGAGAGAAAGATATCGAGAAACAGAGTTGCAGGTTGGTTTCCGAACAGAGATTTCTGCCCTCTTTGGCCACAGGGATAAATCTCTTTCCGAACGGTGGTTCTCTCCTCTACGATCGAATAAAAAGAGATTTGTGCCCTCGTTAGCCACAGGGATAAACGAGAAGAGGAACTGTACACATGGAAAAGGACATTGCAGCAGTATTTAATGATACCCAACAAGAAAATCGTTGCCAAAGATGAGGAAAGCGAAGCTTTACAGAGAGAGAGTTTCCCCAGGAGAGCAAGAAAGATCCTTTTTTCACAGAGAAAGTGATCCTTCCAGAAAGAGAGAGAGTGAAATTACAAAACCAAAAGGAAAAGAAGGCTAACGCGTTGCCCTTTTAGAGAGAGAGTTTCAATGTGAACACCGTGAGAAGGGAAACAGGGGAAGGGGCAAGGCTTGTGATGGAAATTAGTGGGCCACTTTTGAAGGGACCGTTAAATCCACGATCACGCTATGGATACCACACGTGGCGAGATCTAACGGCCCACTTTCAGAGGATCTAGGACCCCACGACCAGGCTTTAAGGCTCGGTTCCCTAGCTCGACGCTGTCTCAAGGCTGTGCCACCTTTTGATCCTAAAAATGACCATTATACCCTCAACTACGTAACCGTGTTTTTTTTTAACCTTGCAGTGTCTTGTCAAAAATTCGTGTTACTTGTTGTAGATTTTTCAAAAAATTATTTAAGTTTTGGTTAGTGTCGGTAAAATTTTAAAAATTAAAGGAATAAAAGTTAGTATAAGGTTGAAAGTCGGAATTAAGGTGCACCTAAAAAATCTATTGTAAAATGTTTTTTTTTTTTTTGTAGTTGGAAAACTCTCTCATCATCTCGATATCAAGATGTATGAATACTGAAAAAGAAGATTTCAAGTCCATACATAGCGAAGGCGACCATGCGAGCCAAGAGAAGAGACGGAGGGAAGGCAAGCAGGGTGCTTCACCTCCTACATTAAGTTAAGGGAGTGAAAGATGGATCATCCATTTTCAAGATTTTTATGTTTGTTTATAGATCTACATGATTTGAATTGTTTTATTACTTTAAAATTTATAATTAAAATTAAAAATAAAATTTTAAATTATCTTAAAAATTTTAAAATTAAATAAAATTTGGTGGTGCACCTTGCCTTGATTATCTGGAGTTACCGCCCGCCTTATGCAAACCACACCCAAAATTAAAAGCCACAAAAAGATGTTAAAAGCCAAATAACCATTTACCTTAGCAGTGATAAAAAGCATTTTGTTAATGAACAAGTCACAGCTGACATGATGCTTTGAGATCTGAGAAAGAGAAAGAAAACAAAACGATGCCCCAAAACTTTTCACTATCCGTTAGCTTCATTATTTTTTCTTTTTTTAAATGTTCCATTATTTTAACATTTATTTCAAATTTTTCACGCCGCGTCATACGTGTTAGCTTTATTTAGATAACGCCAAGACTGTGCGCTCCCCTTGGCCGCATCTCTCCCAGATTTCGCACGAAATTTTGACCAATGGTCTTTTTCTTTGTCGGCGAAAAATGTTTATATGCGTTCGGATTTCGGTTGATTTTATTAAAAATTGCGGCTGATATAATCTTTACACCGTTTCTTGGTTTTATAGGACACGATTTTGGTTAAATTAATGCATCCGCGTTTGGATGTGATTGTTTTACATTTGTTCAAAACTGCTCTACTCCAAAGACTGGAAACCCAAGAAGTTCGAAATTTCATAGACCACACTTTATTGGGTCCATGTCCATATTTCTTATTTTATTTTTCTATGTGATAAGGAAAGAGAAGCAATGGATCTGCCCAAACCCGAGACCCAAAGAGTAGACCAACCTCAGATTCAGGTATGGGTTCGAATTTTGAACCCGAAAGGTTAGCTCTGGGTCTAAAACTTGGACCCGACAAGAGTATATGTTATTCGGGTATTCATATGTTGCCAATATATTTGTTTATTAGGAATTTCCAGTTATTACGTAAAACAAAGAGAAATGCGGTTATCCATAAATGTCATATAATATTGTAAACGTTGCCAATAATATGGGTATATGATGGTAAAGGAAAAAAAATAAGCTCATAGTCATAAGGTGTCAATAGACCCGACCAGACCAAGAACCCGAAAGTCAGGTATTTATTCAAAACCTAAACCCCAATACTAATTGGGTCCGGGTCCAACTGGACCCAATCCGTTCTCACTCGTATAGAGTGCTGCTACGTTATTATTATTTTGGTAATTCGGTAGGGAAGAGAGTCCCCTACCCATTTTTTCAAATAGTTTAGGAGTTAGTTTTTTTAAATGATTAATATGGTTGTGTCAAATGAGTTAAAAACCACAAGGCGGTGACTAGTGTGGAGGTGCAACCACCACGACCCAACCCCAATCTCCTTTCCAAAAACGGCTAGTATATCATCAACTTAAACACAAGATTATGACAAAACTGTTTTCTTCAAGAGTTTGACATTTAATTTTTGACTGGATGGACAGGATACTATACCCACGGTAGAACTTTAGACCTACCATTATCCTTAGTGAAGGACTTCTTTTAGTGCTCTCGCTCAAAAAAGCAAGAGTGTCATTTTCCAAATGCAAAACCATGTACGAAATATTTTCCTTTTGGGCTATCGGAAAGCTCTTGGTCACCTAAACAATCTCGTCCTATCCTATCTCAACGGTCTACTCATTCGATCGGTAGAGATGGCTAAATGAGAGGTAAGGAGTTACAAACACATATTCATCCTTTTAAGAGTGTAATTTATCAAGATGCCTATAAAATATGAACAATTTAACATTTTACCTATATTGTTTGATTTAATTTCAAAATACCATAAAAATGACCGAATAGTTGTAAATACATACAGTGTTAAATAACACATCTCCCGGGGCATTTTGATAAATTTGTTAATAAAAAATATATTTTTGGACTCAAGAGAGAAAGAGAGAGAAACGTACCTCAACTAATTCCAAACCCGTTTTCTTTTATTTTGGGGAAGTTGGTTCGGGTTAGCTTGAAATGCATTTGATATGGACGAAAGTTTAAATTAATAGGTCAAATATTCACAAAGTTTCCTTGTCATAGTCTCCATAACATTGCATTTTAAAAATAGTTGTTTTGACATTGAAAAATCCTTAAGTGATAAATATTGATATCAAGATGCAATAATGTAAAACAAAAAGATTTCAAGTTTTAAAAGTAGGGCATTTTGTAATATATATGGACTACCCAGTCTCAAAACTTTTTAAGTAATTATAGTTATGCTTGTTCGGCATTATTTTTTTATATTTAAATTTCATTATTACAAGTTAAAATAAATATTTAAGTCACTAGTAACGTTTTTGGTACCATGATTGCATCTTTTAGCAGTATTTAGAGGGACACATTTCTACTCTTAAAAGATAAATTATCGTTTAAGGGGTCAAATTGTTTTACATAATCACTAAGAGGTCATGGAGTTTTAATTAACATTAGAAGACTATTTTTTATTTAAATTTCATTTCACTTGAATGCTTTTTAAAAAATATTTTGTTAAATGCTCAATTTGCCCTTGTTCAAGGCTGGGAATCTCGAACATGCGAAAGCATTTTAGGAATTTGACCGGCCTTGAGCAAACATAATCAAGTCATTTGGTTGAGATCGATCAAATTACTAAACCGGTTCCCAACTCTAAATGGCTTAATATTAATGTATGGAGTAAATTATTGAAGGTAATTTGGCCAATATTATTGCATGGAGTAAAGGAGATGCTATGCGTCTCTAGATACTAGGGCCCACTCTTGATGAGACCAAATATCTGTTAGACTGTTATGTTCCCTTTCTTTTGATTTATGCCACTGTTTTCGGGAGGCAAATATGGAGGCTAATTCACTGGCTAAAGGAGATGTTCATCAACAATTGTTGGTGATCACCAATTTCTTTGTGTGCCTCCGGCTTTTTATCTTGTATAACATTTTGCACCTCTTTTGTTTTAATTCGCTGGCTAAAGGAGATGTTCATCAACAATTGTTGGTGATCACCAATTTCTTTTAGTGCCTCCTGCTTTTTATCTTGTATAATATTTTGTACCTCTTTTGTTTTAATGAATGAAAACTCGTAGTTAAAGTTTTTTTAAAAGAAAAGAAAAATAAACATCCTAAACATATTAATTTTGTGTTTTTTTCAGGGATAATTTTTAAAGCTTTACATGACAAAACTAAAATTTCACAAGTGAATTTTTTAAGGAAAAAATTTATATAAGTGCGAGGCTCTAAACAATCAAATTAGAGGCACTTCAAATTTTTTTCTAGAAGAGGTTGTTTTGATGCCCAAATATCTTCAAATTGATAATCTCGACATCAAGATGCATCGATATGGGAAAAAAATGGATTTCAAGTTTTGAAAATAGTATATCTTGTAACGCATTTTTGGATTTTTTTTATCGTCAAATTTTAAGATTGTCAAGTTTTCATATGTCTGCTTTTTTAAGCTTGAAATTTTATAATTAGAGATAAAAAATATATTTTAAGGCTACCACAAAGATTCTCAACATTGAACCCACATTTCTCGACACTATTTGAAGGTGCACTTTACTTTTTGATTATTTAAAGCCTGGGCTCTAAATGAGATATCTTGTTTTGATGTGTCTCACCATGTCTATCTCTGTTGGACAATGGTGTGCATTCCCATGCGCTATTTGACCAAGATGGAAAGGAGAAAAAAAGAAGAAGCTTAAATCCACTGGCTTGGCTGTTAAGTACCTTGACCTAGGTACCATATACACCATGAGTGTGGCATAAGTTTAATTCAAGAGCACTTCATCGGTTTTATTCATGCTCTTGCACATTGTACAGTTCTCTTCGAGGTGAAAGATTATGCTTATTTGGATTTATTTCAATCTCAAATTTCAAGATATGCTTTAAAATCACCAAATGAAAAATTTAAAGAAATAAAATGGAATTTAAGTTTTATTTTTTAAAAAGATAAATTTATCAAAATATCTATAAGAGATGAGTTATTCAACATTTTACCCATTCGCATCTATTCCAATTCAAGGCCATGTGTTTTTTTTTTAGGTATCTCAAAATTAACTAAAAAAACGCAAGAAAAACATTAAAATTTTCACCTCATATAGATAATTTGTAAATTTCTCTTTAAAATAAGAAACAATTGAGTTGCTAATCGTATGGCTCAACTTACATCATTTTAAAGTACATTTTTTAAAGGGAAAAGTTTATATAGAGTCGAGGCTCTAAAAATCAAATTAGAGCCTACCTCAAAAATTTCACTAGAAGAGGTTGTTTTGATGCCCAAATATCCTCAAATTGATCATCTCGACAACAATATACATGGACATGAGAAAAAAATCAATTTCAAGTTGTGGAAATAGTATATTTTGTAATGCATTTATTGACCATCAATTTTAAAGATTTTTAAGTTTTCATAGATTTGCTGATTGACACTATTTTTTAAGCTTTAAACTTTATAAATAAAGATAAACTATATTTTAAGGTTATCATAAAGATTTTCGGTATTGAAACCACATTTCTGGACACTATTTTTTAAGCTTTAAACTTTATAAATAAAGATAAAAATATATTTTAAGGTTATCATAAAGATTTTCGGTATTGTGGAAATAGTATATTTTGTAACGCATTTATTGACCGTCAATTTTAAAGATTTTCAAGTTTTCATACATCTGCTGATTGACACTATTTTTTAAGCTATAAACTTTATAAATAAATATAAAAATATATTTTAAGGTTATCATAAAGATTTCTGATATTAAAACCATATTTCTCGACACTATTTAAAAGTAGGGCTCTAATTTTATTGTTTAGAGCCTAGGCTCTATACAAACCTCACCCTTTTTTAAATGCAACCCATCTAATAAATCACCAATCTCTAGTACACACATCCAATTGCCAGTTAGTTCTTGAACACCAAGAAAGTCGAGGGAAACTAGGATCACACATTTATTGAAATGCACATTTTTACCCTTTTGACAAAACGAGCACATGAAATGGAAAGCGGTTTTTTGCACGGGGGTGCGGTTTTTATAAGGTTGCAACCTTAAACAATCCAATCAAGGCGCACCTCCAAATTTTATCATAACATGTAATTTTGTTGTAAAAAATTGTTAGGATATCTTAAAATCTATTTTTATATCTAATTAGAAAATTTTAAACTCCAAAAATAGTTAAAGTCAAGGAGATTTATAAACGTATGAAAATCTTGAAAATAGACGGCCTAGATAATGTGTTGCAAGATGCACTATTTATGAGATTCAAATTTTTTATTTTTTTTATATTCATACATCTCGATGTCGAGATGATCAAATAGAGGGTTTTTCAACATTAAAACAACCTTCCAATAGATTTTTGAGGTACATATGTAATTCTACATTTTAAGGTTGCCAACTTACATAAACTTTTCCCTATGCACCGACTTCATACATTTTCAATAAAAGAATTCGGTTCATTAAACATCATTAAAGTCTCTTTGGTTGATCCAAGAGAAGTGTTCAGTTCCTCAAATGGTTTAAACTTCAAAGCCCTAATACAGATATAAAAAAATTTGCACGCCCTTGCATAAACAATTGATACATTTACTGGTTACATTAATGATGATTAAATAATTAGACAACATCATTATAAAGTCACTAAGCTTAATCCAAAGAGGATTGTTCTTCCTTAATAAATGATTAAAACTTCAATTTCTAATAAAATGTCTTAAACCAAATATAAATCAGTTGCCAAAATATGATATGCTCGTCTATGAACTCCCTTTGGTAAAACCCTATTGTGTGGTGTCAGATCCCAAATATGAGCGATGTAAACTCCTGAACCTAGCAACCGATGTTAGAGAGAATAAGATAAAATATAAAAGAAAAATCCATTTTATATGTGCTTGAAAACTACAATATCTTGAGATGGAACGAAGATGGTTAAGTATTTGACGTTCAGATCCAAGTGACTCAAATTTTCGAATCCCTTTCTGAAAAAATAAAAAGTCATATGATAAGTGAATTCCAAAAATTTTAGATCAAAGAGATCCTCGTAAATAGCTATTTGCCCGAAGGTGTTAAGTGTATAAAATGCTACAGCAGGGACTACACCAAAAGCACTCTAACTTAGTTTGCCTAGCACAAACCATTGATATATTATTAACTATATTAATATCATTGGTTATATTAGTAAAGATTAAAAATATAATCCAATTTCTATGGTGGTCAAATGCGATGCGGAGCCCATTGCTTTAAACACCTCTTAATCCCCTTTTTAAGGAATCATTATAAGTTTTATCTGTTGAAAGTTTACCTTTACATACATGAAATCCTCACATGAAGAAAAGGGAAAGTAATATACCATTTATTAGAATTTGACTTTTTTAATTTGGTTTTTTTCATTTGAGATATCCCCTTTGCTGAAAAGGGAATCCACACCCATGTGATTTGTTAATGGTGCCAAATGACCTTTCTACTCCCCATGATGATGCCTAGGAATAAAAAGTAGTTTGAAAATCATGAGCTATCTCCATCTTGGGATTAGAGTGGTAAATGGGAAAGTATACCACAATGCAACAAGATGTGGGATAATGGAAAGGATAAAAAAAAATCATCGAGTCGACTAGGAATTGCTCGAACAGTCTCCTGAGCATCTCTAGTTGGATGGTCAATAGATTTGCACAAGTACTACACATATTAGCTAGTTACTGGAGCTGAGGACGGTTATATAAAAATATAGGATATTAGGAGCTGCAACAGAGAGCAATCAAGATTAAATTTTCAAGGTCACATTGGGAATAAAACCAAGGATTAGGTTTCTTTGATCCTACGCTGAACTTTGATCATGGAAGCTTGGAGCGAAAAATCTTCAGGACATCACAATTTATGTCCACTTCCAGGATTTCGAGAATCCAAATGAGCTAGTGGCAATGGTCAACATCAAGTTCCTCAAACAAGAGTTGACCTATTTAAAGTTTATGCAGGAACATAAATTTTTAAGAACATAAATGGACCTGATTTTTATTGTTAAGTAGTAATATCTGTTTTCTGTTTTACAGAGCAAAATGTTTCTTCTGGTATTTCTGTCCAGTTATGCAGTTATCAAGAAAAATAAAATAATTTGGGGTTTTTTGGACCTATTTATATTTGAGCTAAAAAATTATTCCTTTTGTTTTATTTTCTTCTATAATGTGTTCATCAGAGCATGGGATTACTAAGACAGTCCTATAAAATTTGAATATTATATGAGTATTACTGAGTTGAGTTGATGGACCAGGCCTTTGGCTAATGGCATGATTAGAGGCTCATATTGCATGGATTTTCTCCCAAAGCTGTTCTAATTGGGGAATTTATTATTTTGGAATCAATTGTGGACATTGAACCCATTCTATTGCTAGTTGAGACTGAATAATTGCTTGAGTTTCTTCTATTTTAACGAAGAAAGTAAATAGATGTTGGTTGTTCTATTGTATCTTCTATGAATATGATCGATGGCTCATGTGGGTTTTAGTGCTTACAATCATGGAAAAAAATACAAAACAAAATATATAACGAGACAAGGTAAATGAAAGTCCCACTGAAAATTCTATAGTAGTTGAAGTCTCCATTTTGCTAGAATTAAATTTTTAAAAAAAATCTCCATATTGCTAGGAAAAAAGAAAAAAATAGCAAGGAGACAAAGTGAATGCCTCCCACGCAACTCATTCTAGAAATCCCCTACATGGTTAGAGCCTCCTTTTAGTAGCAATAGCTGTGGGTCTCTGACCAAACCACCTTCTCCCACCATTATTGGTACTTCCTGCTAATGTTCCATTCGATTTGTAGTCCACGGCTTGCACCCCATCACCACATTTAAAGAATTTGACATTTGACCATTGGCATTGGCTCATTCGGATTCCCAAAATGCTCAACATCGATGTACTTCAGAAAGTCCCAACGAAATGTTGTTCCCTCGAAACTCTTCACGATCAAATTATGCATAGGCTCAGAAGAAACCTAATTCAAGTTAAACCGCCATAGTGACTTTGTCAATTTAACCATGGTCGCGATCTGTTGCTCTCCTAATATCTCATTTTCGTAGATGGTTCCTCACTCTCAATAACGAGCTCATACATATGTTACCTGTGTCAATCAATGGACTTCGACAACATTGGCTGTTCTCCTAGTAAAATCTCTGGATCCTCGAGTTGCTGACAGCTGTTTAGCAGCAGATGCCTGCCATCCTCCATTGCAGCTGCAATGTTGTGGCATGTGCATTGTGGTTTCCAAGTGGCAGCATGCACTGGGTGACTGGGAATTATAGATGAGGGTCGAAGGTAAACAACAACAGAGATTTCATGAAGTATGGGATGAGTGGTTGAGGAATGAATAAAAACAAACCTCATAACACAACGGCTATTAAAAATAGAAAGCATAGAAGAGTATAGGTGGAGGCACTTATTTGTTGTTGGAGGACAACCATGGGTAGTGAAGTTTCTCAAGGTAGGGTTATGCAAATCTATATATATATATATCTAGACAATTAATTAAATATTAATTTTGACAATAGCATGATGCTTGCCAAAAAAAATTTATAGTAGTTTATGTGGAAATCTCAAATCTGAGATCTATGGTACTTTTTGAAATGGTCCGAGGAAATTTGGTAAGGAAAATTTTGATCAAGTAAAGATTTTAAAATTTTTAGTATTGGAATCTAGTGCGGAAAAATCTTGGAAAAAAGAAATGCAAAGGAAAAATCTTGAAAAAAGAAATGCAGAGGAAAGCTTTTAACTTCAAGGGTGGACCAATTATTGGATTCTACAGAGCCATGCTTAGTCTCGTACTGGTGGGTTGAGGATCATCATTAGATTCTTCCAACCCTTTCCCACGGAAGAGGACACCTTGAACATCAATCATCAGGCAGCTAGAGAAGATGCTAAACATGTAAAGATAGGCAGATATGTTTAAATACCAAAATGTTAATAATACTTTGGATTCGTTTGAACTTATTATGAAATGTTAATGTAGAGATGGATTCACTGGCCAAGGAAGGGACCAGTAGAGATGGATCAAGCAGTTCCTCCATAAAAATGATATACCTATTACACTTCAACTTGATTACAGAAAATCCTTTCATAGAGATGAAATTCATCAATAGAACAAGGTGAGTTTCTGAAAGGAGCAACGGAGACAAATCCTGTTCAATTATAACCATGATGTATAACAACATGCAGCGATAAAGAACAATATGTGGTGCGACTTTATCCATACTCATCAAGAACAACACTCTGGTGTTTCATCCATCTCCAAATAACTTCATATCAAAAACATAGAGAACATTGTTAAGAGCAAACTCTGTGACTTTATCTTTATTAGAGAGAGCATTCTTCATCTAGACTTACAAGTTACAACCCATATGCAGCACAACAAATATTGAATTACCATAAAAAAAAAGAGGAACATGGTAAAAATAAACACCACAAATAAACCTGAATTAGAAAAAATAGAAACGAATTTGAAAAATGAAACATGGGTAAGAGGTAACGATCCAAACTTAAGCCACTGAAAGCCTCTTGACCACCGCTGCCATGTACTTTCCTTGGTGCTCAGCCAGAGCGAGCTCTGACTCGCTTGGCTCCCTTGTGCCATCTCCAGCAAACACACCAGCCCCATAGGGTGAGCCTCCACGAATGGAATCCAGCTTGAACATCCCAGCCCCAAAAGTATACCCAATTGGAACAAAGAGCATTCCATGGTGAACCAGTTGCGTGATTGCAGTCCAACTGCACAACATGGCTATAGACGTTTAGTTACTGCCCAAAATTTTGGCAATGATTGGTTAGACTTTGATCAAATCATTATCAGAAGCAAAACCAGAGAGAATCTGCATTCAGATGGGAAAAATCATGACAAGTAACCCCATATAGCTTTTAGAAATGACCAAAACGAGACTGGGTTTTTATTAATCAAACAACTTCAATTGCCAAATTATTTCCTAAATGTGCTAATCCATCAGGCATAACAGATCTCCCACGAGCAAGGAAGCTTTCCTAAATGTGCTAATCCATTAGGCATAACAGATCTCCCACAAGCAAAGAAACTTTCTCGTTAACACTCGCAGCTCACTTTACAGCCCATTTGGGGTGACCCATCAATACTCTGAAATGGCCAAAATAATGTGCAGTTCTGCTGACTTCTTGAGGAAAAACATGATTGACATATATTACACTTGGAAATCAAGATATTACACAAATTTATGGGCTAAATGCAAAGAGTTGTTTGACATTCCACAACAAGATGCGGTTTAAGTTTTTGTAGAAAAGTCAGTTCATGCAAATATTCTTTGCAATTTCTAGTGAATAACATGACACAGATACATAACTATACATTAACATGTGCGCGTGTGCACATTATCTGGTAGATAGATAGCTGTGCTGCTCAATTCTATTTTTCAAAGCTCTAAGACTCCAACACCCCATGGCCAAGTCCAGGCTTGGCCTCGTATTGTTCCACAAGACAAGTACTTTGGACTTCCACGGAAACCTAATGTGAAAAGAACTTGATAAAAGTAGAAATACATTGAGTTCTGAATGCATATGAGCAAAGATTATTTTGCTTTTCAAAAGAAAGAAGTTTCCAAATACCTATTGATGGAGACCAGCCCTGACAACCTGATATAAACCAAGAGAAAAAATGACTTGGTGCAGTTCTCAGTGATCTCTAAGAGGTACTTGTGGCTTATATTTGAGAGTTATATAGATATCATAGATTCAACTTCCATTTAAAGATATCATGCAAAAGGCAAGATACATGATCTACTTTTACCAATCTACAGAACATTGGACACATGATACATGGGATTGGGCACCGGCTTGAACTCTAGCACCACATCCAAGTTCAAATTCTGCCGCTTACCGACCAAAAATAGAAAAGGACACAAGGTACATGCATTATATATTCTGAACTGGTGTGGCTGGGACTAGTTTTTACATCAAATTTTCAGGATAAGTGGGATTAGATAAAATGGACACAATCCTAATGCGAATATTTAGACCTTGAGATCAATTCGTTGCTTGAAAGTGGATTATTCATGGGTGTAACTGCTTAGAGTCTCATTTAAACATTGGTTTGAGCTTCTGGTACATATTTTATCATTCTTCATATATTTCAAAGTATATAAGAGAGAATTATTGAGCATGACATAAGGAATTCATAAGCATGCATAGAGAAAGGGCCTGCATTTTGTGAGAAAGGAGAGCTTACGCGGTGGTTTCTTGACCTCCTCCTTGTGTACCAGTGCTCACAAAGAACCCAGCAGGCTTTCCTGCAAGCTTTTGCTCCTGCCACAATTTACCCGTAGAATCAAAGAAAGCCTTCATCTGAGCGGCCATGGACCCATATCTCGTAGGAAACCCGAAGAGTATTCCATCAGCATCAACCAATTCAGCAGCCGATATCTCAGGTATCTCCTCATCCTTTAATGGAGCTTTCATATGCTCCAAAATCTCAGGTGATAGTGTCTCAGGCACCCTGTACAAGACCCCTTCTACTCCGTCAATTCCATCGATCCCTCTCTTCATTCTCTTTGCCAAACCTTCCACATGCCCATACATGGAATAAAATCTGCTAGATCAAGAAATTTAAAAATAAAAATTCAATGTTATAAGAATAGAGGGCCAAATTCTGAATATAAATTGATGGTTTAAAATATTACATAAAAAGATTTTTAATGCATATCTAGACATTTAGGCACCATTTGATTTCCAAACCAAATTGCAATTTCCGTCCTAGTTGAAAATTTCTCACCAACAATTTGACCTCAACGAATATTTGATTCACAAATTTGAATTGATTCCCAATTGCAATTGGACCCCAAATTGAATTTTTTGAAAAAACAACTTGGAGTTGCTTTTTCAAAAAATTAATTTGGCTCTCTCTCTCCCTCCCCCCTCCAAATCACCAGAATCAATGCTGTCACTATCTCTCTCTGTCTCTCCCCCCCCCCCAAAGAAAAAAAGCTACCAGAATCACTGTTGTGACCGCCACCACCATCGCCATCTAACCACTGCTACCATTACCTTACCGCTACTGCACCAGTACCACCACCACTCTACTGCCTCCACCACCTTCCCAACGCCGCCACCACCAATACTCCACCCCACCCCACCCCACTCCACAACCACAACCTCTACTGCCACCACCACTACCTCCATCGCCACCATCATCACCTTACCACTACCGCACCATCGCCTCCACTCCACATCCACCACAACTGCCTAGCAACCACAACCTCCACCAACGTTCCGCCACCACCACCTTCACCACTCTACAACCACCTCCAAGGCCACCACCACCACCACTACTCCACCACCAGCGCCTATCCGCCACGATCACCATGATCACCACCACCACTACCGCTCTACTACCACCATTCCACTGCCCAGCCAGCACCACCTCCACCACAGCTCCACCACCACCACCATTACTGTGTCACTAAAAGAAGTTTCCACAGCCACTCCACCACCACAGCCCAGCTCACTCCCACCGCACCACAACCACCATCACCGTCGCATTCACAACACTACCATGACACCATCACTACCACCATCCACCATCATACCACATAATCACAATTGACAATTCAAGTTGTAAAAATCAAACACCCATATAGAACAAATGATAATTGAGTAAATTGCCATATGTTAATTTACAAATTCAAAAAAAAAAAAATCATTTGATAAAACTTTGCAATCGAACGGTCCCTTAGATAACTAAAGGAAATTTGGACAATCAGCCAAAGAATAACATTTGCAGCTCAAGCAAGCACCACGCGACCTCTCTAACTCTCTCTACTAAAAAACCCGAACTTGACTCCGGTCTTCCCCTATGAGTCTCAAATCAACTCAGCGAATGCTATTCTTGTAAGACTCTGAAATTCCTAAGAATATTAATTGCTTCTGAAAATACTTGATAAGACTCAGGACTCCCCTAGCCTTACATCTCATCACGTGCTTATAGCAATCTTATGTGTTTCACCCTCAGTGATTCTACTTGTTATATCACTAGGGAGGTCCCTGAGCCAAGTCATCTCAAGAGGGTCCCAAGTCCTAAATCATCTCTCTCTCTCTCTCTCTCTCTCTCTCTCTCTCTCACTCACACACACACACACATAGGAAGTGCACACATAAGTACATGTTTTTTGTGTATTACGAGCAAACATATATACGCATGCATAAATTTGCATATAAACCAATAATGAAATATGGGAGAGTTTTAGAGAGAATTACACGATGAAGATCTTGAGTTTCTTGACCACTGCAAGAGATGCGGAAGGTGCATCTTGGGAGGAAGCGGGTTCTTCACCATCTGGAGCTTCTATTGTAGCATTTGGGGGATCCTCAGAGACCACCACTGGCATGCGCTTTTTACTAGGTACACACCCCCCTCCTTTCCCCATTTAAATGTCTGCCCCTTTGAATGGACCCAATATCCAATATACAATAAATTTTATAGATAACTGAATATATACAAATAAAACCCCTTAAGAGAATTAACTTCCTTCAATGATTCCCTAGGAACTCAGGCTCTTTGACATCGATGTTCCGATAAGGATTTTGCAGTTTTCGTCTTTGTTCTTCCAAGTATGTTTAGTTGTCTTTGAGGTATCCAATTTATTGCACCCTTCACACTTAAAATTTACTCAGTTATGTCAATCTGTTGCAAAATTTCCTTCAAATATTGAGCTTCTGCAAGGCAGAAACCCAACCAACACACTGTAAATCCACTTCTTATCTCCTTCGTATTAACTGAAACATATACTTTGATTCCTTTGAACATGCAATTTCTTGCACTACAGAGGCAGTTTCATCAACGATTCAGGCTCAGTTGTATTTCTTCACTCTGTATATTCCAGTCTTTAGATATCAGGATTTGGCACTTATAAGTATGATTAAATTTTTTGCATAATATGTTCTTCTTTTTTCTCAAGTAGTATGATAGCTGAAAATATAATACCAAAATCTGTATATTCACTTATAAATTGTCCTTTCGATGATACATAAAATGTAGGGTACCTCAGAACCAAGAATTAATAAATATACAATCTTACAAGATGAGTTGCTTCTCATTTGGAATGAACATCAAAAAAATAAAAGGAGAAGGTCTAATAAGCTCCCTTTACTCTTAATACAGAAAAACCAACAGAAATTGGAAAAACTCAACTATAAAACTAGCATTAGCTACTCAAAACAGTGCTGATCTTTTAAGATGGAAAAACGGATAAAATAAATAAATATTTTCAAAACAGTACTCTACTTATGATTTAGCCACTTCAATGGACTCTGAAATTAGAGAGGAAAACAATGAGGGAAAAAAAAGAATATAATTTTTTTGTCTGATATCCTCATCTTAAACATAAAACCATAACTATAGAGAAGGAAAAAAAAAAAAGTTCACTGAAACAATAAAAGCACGAAAACACAAAATATAAACAATAAACTAAAATGATCCCTGCTCCAGCTACCTGAACTATCTTAAGGGTCAGAGAGAGAGAGAGAGAGACAACAATATTCAAAATACAGGTCTTCTTGCTACTTATATTTCTGTGCCGAAATTCAATTGAACAAAGAAACACAACTCCATACATAGCCACTTTGGATTATCATCATACAAAAATAGAGAAAAAAAAGTTATTTCAGATCACAGAATGCAGAAAGAAATCGCAGAGAAAATGATCAAACCTCAATTAATGGTTCGTCTCACTTAATCACAAGTAAAACACACTTGCATTGCTCAATTAGGGTTCTTGAACAAAGCCTAACTCCATCTCCAACTCAAAAAAAAGCAAATAAGATTAGGGTTACAGTTCTCACCTGGTTTCAGTGCTTCAGAGAAAAAACGTGAACCTGATATAGGGAAAATTCACTTTCCTCTACTGTTTTCCAGAACCTAGTATAGGGTTTGCTGTGTGCCTATACTCTCTCTTCTTTGACTGGCTTATCGTTAGCAGAATAAGCCATGACCAGTTTTCACCAAATTCTTCGCAGTATTTTCACCATGGGCGAAAATGCAGAAGCCAAGCTGTATTTTCCTCGCTATCTTTTATTGGCTTTCTGGAATATGCCTCAAAAATGAAAATGAATTGATCGGGACCCGTTGCATCGACCATATTCGAAAAAGATTACTATTTTGCCACCCTAAGCGGGAATATGGGGTTGGTCGTTGTGATGATTTGGTGGTTGTCATGGGGGCAGAGATGGAAAAGCGTGGCGTTAGTGCGAATTCTGTAACGCTATACATAATTAGAAGGTGGGCTCGCGATACGTTATTATTTTTTATTTGATGGAGGTCCCATTGCCAGCGTGCACAACACGTTTCTCTCTATCCTCATTGACTAGGATTTAGAGAGCCGCTCTCTCTCAATCAATTTGATAACGGATGTCAGTCCATGTAGAAATGTGTCCGACACTTCACAATCTATTTTTGATAGGGATTTTGGACCTAAATTTTAAGGACGTGGAATATCTAACATGAAGATCATCAATATAAATAATTTTTAAAAAATAAAAATAATAATTTTATAAAAAAAACCTTTAAACTATTAGTTTGGATTGTTTTTAGATAGACCATCTATTTGTATCCAGTTTTAAAATAAATAAGTAATACTCTCTCTCTATAATGGTCAAGATTTAGCTTTCTTTCTTCAATGGTCAAGAGCTAGAGTTAAACCCTCTCTCCACTAGACAAGAGGCTGAGAACTACACTCTTTCCACTTGAGTGCCTCCACTCTCTTTTTCCCTCTCTCGCATGTACCGAAAGGGGTTTGGTGGGTGTGGTGATACCCTTTTATCTAATTATCATGTTGTGGCCGCTCTCTTTCTCCCTCTCTCACATGTACCGAAAGGGGTTTGGTGGGTGTGGTGGTACCCTTTTATTTAATTATCACGTTGTGGTTTTCAATTCTACTTACATCACCTACTGACATCTTAGAAAGAAAAAAAAACTAACTCAGTAGTCTATATGGAAAATGGGTATGGGCCATATTGCCCACCGAATTAAAAAAAAAAAAAACCCCCTCTGGACTGGATACTACAATCTCTCAATTGGATAAGATTTCACACTCTTTCTCTTCCCAATGGTTGAGACTTGGGAGCCACTCTCTCTCTAGATCGGTTGAGACTCGGAGATGAGACGGTATGGGTTCCATCAAAGTGGAGCCCGTTTCATTTCATCGTATTCCTTGCCAGCACATGGTTTACGTAGAATAGATTAAAGATAATAATGTGTTTCCCACTCTGAAAATATGAAATTATACCTAACCATTCTCGAGTGACCCACCCCTATAGACTTTTAAAGGCAAAAATAGTGCTGGCAATGGGCCCAAGGGTCAGGCCAAGGCCAGGTCACCAAGACCCAAGGCCTAGGACAGGCCCTGAAAAACCCAACATGCTTTAGCCCGGTCCAACCAGATCCTTATTTTTTTATTTTTTTTTATTTTTTTTAAGAAAATTATCACTAATACATCATAATTTTAAGAAAATTGTAAAAAAAAACCCAACTTCCCAAAATCTCGCTCACACGTTTTTTTTTTTTCAATTTAGGCATTTTTTAAATTAAAATACCTTTTACGATAGTCTTTCTACCATAATGCATTGCGACCATTACGGTAATTAAAATACCGTTGTAAAATCCCGAGGGCCAATGCCAACCAAGTTTGGCCAGGTCCAACCGTCTTTTTTTTTCTCTTGTGTTTCTTCATTTGTTTTGGGGTCTGCTCAACCCAGCCCGACCCTAACAGGGACAGGGTTAGGCTTGGGCCGGCTCTATGACAACAAGGGCAGGGCCATTGCAGAGGCTGGCCCAGCCCGTTGCCACCCGTACTCCTGAATCTTGATAGGACTCCCTGCATTTGCAATTATACGCACATTTCCACCCTGCGCTGAGGATAGACGATGGATGTCTCTTTTGTCCAGTTGCATAAACATAAGCATGTTACACCTTTTCCATAAGAATGGGTGTGCAAAGCGTAAGGCATGCTTTGCATGTTGCGACATCACTATCCATCGACAATAATCAATGGTTGTTGTTTAGTTGACAGACACGGCCCACCCCTGAAGCAAACAACTATTGTTGTCCTCGTCTTTGAGAATGGATTGTATTATTTGCATATTCCATGTGTGCGTAATTTATTATTAAAGGAAAATTAACGTAAATATCTCCCATTTTAATAATTTAAAAAATGCCCTTGGTATTTTCTAAAGGCACGTTAGTATTTCAATTTTATACTATTTATTCTATACATAGAATTGAGCTCAAATTTTATGTATTCATATTTTTTATTATCGTGCATATGTAAAAAACTAATTAAAAATGATGAATATAAATAAAACTACCAAAATATTAGTACGAATCTAAAGGTATTTTAGTCATTTTATTTATTTAATATTATTGATTTGTACATCTTTTACAAGCAAATTATAGTGAGAAACATGGACACCCAAAATTTTGAGCTTAATCTGATATATATATAAAAGCTAAAAAATGATACATAGTCTAAAAGAGTAGGATGTGAGTGTGAAATATGAAACACTGAGGATAATTTTAAAATTCTGTAAATTATATTGATATTTAGATAACTTTTTTTTATTTAAATACGGGTGTCATTTGCAAAAAGTTACAAAATTAAACAATCAAAGTACGGTGCACCAGCAAAATTTATTATAAGATGTAATTTTAGCATAAAAGATTATTAAGATGACTTGAGAACCCATTTTCATCTCTAATTAAAAAATTTTAGATTAAAAAAGTGGATCAAATCAAGTAGATTTATGACCACATGAAAATCTAAAAAATGGACGGTCCAAATGTGTTGCAAGATGCACTACTTTTGGGACATGAATTCTTTTTTTTTTTTTCTTCATACATCTTAACGTCGAAATGATCAATCTTAGGGTTTTTCAACTTTGAAACAACCTTTTATGATGGATTTTTAGGTGTACCTTAATTCTACTATTTAAAGTTGCAGCCTCATGTAAACTTTTTCCTTTAAATTATTATAAAACATAAATTTGTGAGATTCACATCTACCCTCCATCGAAAATATGGAAGGTTCGTAACTGCATAAGGACGATAGTGGGAACATGTCGGAATGTCATTTGAGAAATATAATTCATCTCGACCAATCATTTTCAAAATAACCAATGGTGTGTATGTTATTCTTTTCTAAGAGGGTTCGGTTTGCTGAATTTACGGTGACACACAATTATATAGTCATAGGGTTAGCACCCTCCAATCAATGGGTTGAATAGTGGTAGTGTTAGCACCCTCCAATCAATGGATTGAATAGTGATAGTGTGAGGCATGTTCTTATTTTTTTTTTTTTTTTTTTTTGAAATAGTAATGATCATATGAGATCTTTCTACCCCCATATGTATAAGATCTCAAAATATCACTATTAAATTTGGCACAGATATTTTAAAAATTCAAGTCACATATTCAGTGATCACTTTTATAGAGATCTGTATAAAATTTAATAATAATTATTTGAGATCCTACATACGTACTCTTTTTTAAATGTATCATCCGTTTTACTTAAGAAATGCTCCCACATCTAATCATAATGAAGAGTTATTTTAAAATATCCTTACTCCCAAGGCCTTTATAGGAAACCCACGTGGCCTTACTCTAGGAGGCCTTTACAGGAAACCCACATATATCACACCATGCATTACCCCTAATGACCGTTATATACATATTGCAGGTACATTGTCCAATTGAATTGGACAGTCCAATCGAACCGTGCCAATTCGATATAATGAAAATGAAATCTATCAAAATATACATACATGTCAAATACTTAAGAAGTTTAAACAATCCAATTAAGGTGCACTTCAAAAATTCATTAGAAGAGGTTGTTTCGGTGTCCAAAAATCCTTAAATCGATTATCTCGACCTTAAGATGTTTGGACACGATAACAAAATAGATTTTAAGTTTTGGAAATAATACATCTTACAATGCATTTTCTAGACCGCCCATTTTTAAGAGTTTTAAAGTGTTCATAGATTTGTTTGATCTGCACTATTTTAGAAGCTTTCAATTTTATAATTAGAGATGAATTTTTTTTTTTAAGGATATAATAAAACTTTTCAATATTTAAACAACATCTTTTAACACTATTTGAAAGTGCATCTTACTTTGATTGTTTAGAGCCTCAACCTTATACTTACTCGGTTTGGACCTCAAACTTAACTTTGATGGTAGCTCCTTAGAAAACCCACGTCCTGCTGGTATGAGTAGTTTACTCCGAAACCACGTAGGAACAATGCTCTTTTTTTATGCGGGACCCTATAGCAACACTATGTCCTACAATGCTCTTTTCTTATGCGGGCCCCTATAGCAACACTATGGTTAATCAAGCTGGAATTTGTCTTCTTTTACATAAAAACAAGAGCTTTTTGGGAAACATTATTATCGAGCGAGTTTCCCTTAATGTCATTAAATGGTGTAAACATGAGCGGTGGACTCTCTGATCTCTTCACGGGCTTTCAGTTGAAAATTCATGATCTTTGTGCCCCAGGGCTACGGATTATATTATCCCATATCAATCGTGAAGCTAATGATGTCGCCGATAGACTTACAAAGCATAAGAGTTTTTTATCTTATTTTCTCATTTACAGTGCTTTAATTCCCTCATTGTAATCTGCTGCTTTTTAAGCATTTATCCAATAATAGCTTTTAACATTAAAAATAAAAAAGGCCTCAGCCTTATACAAACCACACCCTTTTATATTTTACTCTTCATCAAGTGTCCGACACACGAAAGGCTTTATCTCGAGATTTTTAAATTTGAATCAAAATACATGAGTAACATGTTATAGAGTTCATATCTTACATGTATTTTGAAAAAGTTCTCTATATAAAGTATTACTTTGAGTGTCAAACTATCTTACAAAACTACTAAATGTGTCATGATGTCATATTTTAACTTTAGTGGTGTTGTTTTGAAAATTTTCTATTGCATTGAGCTACATTTCTACTAGAAAAAATTGAGCAAATTATCCCTCTTTAGGATTGGAAAATAGACGTTGAGAATTCATGTTGTCAACCGTTACAATAGTCTTTTGAGTCATAATCCTAGTGGATGTTCCAACCATAAAAGTTGCTACCCCAAACCATTTTTTCAATAACTACCCAAAATTCATGCTTTTTTTTTTTTAAATAACTATTCCCTTGACCGTCATTCAATAATATAGGTGTGAACATTTTTTTTTTTTTGCATGAATATGAATTAAGACTTTACCTCATGCAATCATGTGAAATTGAGGAGCTAGGTGTGTTATAGAAATTAAAAAATATTATTTTTAAAACTTTTATCATGGTCAATTGTATTCTATCAACTCACATATTTTATCAAATCCACTGGTCTCTTATATTATTTTTTTTTAAAAAAAAAGTTTATATAGAGCTGAAGATCTAAATATCAAATTAATGCCAACCTCAAAAATTTCACTAGAAGAGGTTGTTTTGATTTCCAAATGTCCTAAAATTGATCATATCGACATCCAAATGCATGAACATAAGAAAAAAAATGGATTTCAAGTTTTGGAAATGGTGCATCTTATAACGTATTTTTGGACCGTCAATTTTAAAGATTTTTAAGATTTCACATATACGCTTGATCTATACTATTTTTTAAGGTTTAAATTTTATAATTAAAGATGAAAACATATTTTAATGCTATCACAAAGAATTCCAATATTGAAACCCCATTTCTAGACACTATTTGAAAATGCATTTTACTTTGATTGTTTAGAGCCTCGGCTCCATACAAACTACACCCTAAAAATAAATAGCCTCATTCTATAATTTTCCTTGTTGAATGTGATCCTCTTATATTAAAAATAAATAGCTTGATTCTATAATTTTCTAGCAAATAATAGGGGAAAAGAAAAAGTATATACTTGTCCATATAAATATGGAAGTGTATCAATGAGACTATTTACATTTGATATATGGAGGTCATAATCATCATTGACTGTTAGATTTGACATCGGGTGGTTGATGATGTGTTATTGTTTGGGCATAAAATCCAACAAAAAATTTATCGAATATTATAACGCATTTTTATCTATTGGATTTCACATCCAATGACTACAAATGACTGTGACTTATTTGTATAAAAAATAAATTGTCTCGTAATATACAATCCCTATAAATTTCATAGAAAATAAAAGTCCAATCGTGCCAGACTACCATTGCATGTAGTCCCACTCCCAAAACAGGGTAGAGACTACTATTACATGTAGGGCTGTCAATGGTCCAGGCTGGGGAGGGCTGCAAATTCATGTAAACGTAAAGACAACCTTTTATTAGGCAAGGGTCGCGCTTTTAACGGGTCAGCCTGAAGTGGCTCGAAAAGGCTGAAATCCTTCTCTCCCTTGGCTTGAAAGCTCTCCCCCACTTCTCTCTCTCTCTCCCTACTTTGCTTTTAGGCAATGGCTCAAGAATGGGGATCATATAGATGCTTTAGCCAATGTTCTGAAAATCGTCTCGGCCAAGGTGATTCCGGCCCTGGCCGAGGTAATTTACTCGAATGAGTCCGAATAACTTGTATGAGTCCAATCTTTTTTTAAAAAAAAAAAATTAAAGATAAAAGCCAGATATAAATACTGCAAGAGTCACTTTTAATATTAGGTAACACATTGGAATGTTGGTTATTGCTTTGTAGATCTATTTAGAAGAGGTATTGAGATCCACTAAAAAAAAAAAAGAAAAAAAAGGACAAAGGACTTCTTAAAGGTTGCAGCGTTAAAAAGGTATCTACGGTGGTTTTTAGAGAGAGAGAGTGGGCGGAGAAAGAGAGGGGATGGTGGGGTGAGAAAATATGTTATTGGAGTTAGAGTGAATGGATTATGAGAGAGTGAGGGGCGGTGGGGATAGGGGAATGAGGTGGTGAATAGCCCCCAGTGCTGACCCCTCTTGTCAAATTTTTTTATTTCTCAATATTATTTAAAGGTTTTATTTTTTCTAAAAACTATGTTAGTATTTTTTTTGAGAGATTTTCCTTTTTTTGAAAAAAGGCTTCGACCGGCCCACGCATTATTTGGACCACCCCAGGCTTTGTCCGATAGATTCTTTTGGACTGAGCTGGTCTTGTCCAATAGATTCTTTTGGACTGGGCCGCTCTCTAATAATATATTCGGGTTGGGACAAACTAGTATTGAGCTTTTTCTGGCCCGAACTAGCCCATGGCGTCCCTAATTCCATATGGTCCCGTGCCCAATCAGGCTGGGGAGGGGAGTTTTTTTTGACAATTTGGTTTTGTTTTGGAAAAAGAAACAAAGGTGTGTGACTTCTCGTCAATTAAAGTAAATGTCTTGCTATAAAAAGAAATGAAAAATATATAAAGAGATCATTTACTTTTAATATATGAAAGTTACAATTAGATATGAGACTCATGACTTCATCGAGTGTATGGTCATTGTTTGGGAATAATGACAAAACATGATCCGTGTAGCTGACTCCAAATAGTTGAAAAAATACTATGATGACGATAATGATAATATAGAGGTTACAATTACTCTTGTCCGTCAAATTAGATTGTTATAAAAGTATCATTGACTAGACTCAAATTTTTTTTTAAGAGGCTTAAGCTTTATAAAATAAAATAAAATGTCATCTCAAATCCTCATTTACAAAGCACTTTTTGCAATAGAAGTTTCCATGATGGCTTTAAATTCAGTTTTCAACAGCGACAAAAAATTTTGATCCTAAAAAAATCATGGTATGTCTTGTGCATCTTTGAACACTTATTTTTTGGATGAAATTGATGGTCTAGACAATTTGTCAAAATATACAATATTTCTAGAGTTTGAAATCTAAATTTTTTTCACAATCCTAATGTTGAAGTCAAGATGATCGATGTAAATGTCTTTTCATGCTTGAATTATGGATGAATTATGAGGTGAAGCTTTACTAAGTTTGATAACGTGTAGTTTGTATGGAGCCCAGGCTCTAAATAATCAAAGTGAAGCACACATTCAAATAGTTCTAGAAATGTCGTTTCAATAATGGAAATCTTTGTGACAACTTTAAAATATATTTTCATCTTTAATTATAAAATTTAAAATTTAAAAAATAGTGCAAATCGAGCATATCGATAAAAATTTAAAATTATCAGTAAAAAAATTATATTATAAAATACGTTATTTTTAAAACTTGTAAACCTATATATATATTTTTCATGTCCATGTATGTCGAGATGACCGATTTAAAGATATTTGTGCAAAATTTATGAGAGGGGCACCTATACGACTGCACTAGTTTTCTTCCCAAAATAATAATTATCCTCTCTCCACAGGGAATACACGTTCCTGAAATTTGCGGCGCATACTATGCTCTTTCTCTCTCTAAAATCTAAGCATTATCCGCCCTTTGTATTTCTAGAAAATGAAATAAAAAAGGAAAAACCACCGAAAATTATCCTCTCTTTTATTCGATGCCCTAGTTTCTGTTCTCCGAATCCCGCAAAATAGGCCATCGACTTCTGAATAATTCGCAATCTCGACATCTTTGAGTTTTCTTGGGCGCCAAAATTTTCCGGCGAGTTTTGCTGGAATCTGACGGGAATTTGCCGGAAACCCAAATTCCAGCCGCTTCTGTGCCGTGAAAAGGTGAACAAACAGAAGGCTTTGCTTCTACTTCATTTTTTTCGGCGATTGTTTTTTTTGACAATATTTTTCCTGGGAATTTTGCACGTCCATGGGAGGTTCTTTCGAATTTTTTATGCTTCTTGTTCTCTGATGGACCACAAGAACTTCTATAGTAGCGGTATGCTCTCTCTCTCTTTCCTCCTCATTGTAACTCTCTCTCTCTTATTTTTTTTTCCCATCTCTCTATCTCTCTCTCTCTCTCTCTCTGGGATTTATTTCTTGACGCTTTTATTGTCGAATATTTGATTTTCGTTCAATTTATTTTTCTTAATACATTTGTAACGCTTCATCTCGTCTTCCCATTTATTTTTGGTGAATTTCCATCGTTCTTTCTCCCTCTCCTATCGCCAGGTCTGTTTTCCTCTCCCTCGTTCGTCTTATTATTTATCTCTCTTTCTTTATCTTACAAGTTCTTGCTTGCTTTACACTCCTATTAATGTGTTTTAGGGTTTATTTAATGTTGCCTGGTTTGAGAACACGATTTCTCAAGGAAATTTTGTTGTTCTCTTCATGGTATTTCCCTTTATGTATTGGCTTGATTTTGCTTGTTCCTCTGAAACTTCTGATGACTTTTGAGGATTTTTCCTTGGATTGTTGTTCGGTTTTTGAGTAATGTATTTGGAGAATTTCTTTATAGGTTTATTTGGAATTTCAGCTAAGGAAGTTTTTTGAGGAAATATTTGTGATTGCGGGGCTTATTTCTTGAATTGGAGGATTAAAGATGCGGTCTAGGGTTCCTTATTTTTATTTTTATTTAATTTTGGAACATTTCTCGAATTAAATTTGTCGTTACCCTTGTGCAAGTGCCATTCTAGGGTTTTAATTGAAGTTGGCGGATAGGCTTTATTTCTATAATAGTTGTTTATTCATCTACTATTATCATGTGAATAATCACATATTTCAGATTTTATATCTAAAATTTGAACTAGGGCAAAGCTCTCCTGATTATTTATTTTATTGTACATCTATATGACGATATAAGGAGACCATTTATTGGATTAGAGCATTGAAATCATTCTTAGATTCTGTGGTGTGTTTTTGTTTTTCTCCTTGGTGGATGCTATTGTGTTTTCTTTCGTTATAATGTTTCTAACATGCATTTATTTATCACATTGAGATTGATATTCATCTTTTTCTTTTTAATTCCTCTGTTTATATGGCAAGGACTGAAAAAAACTTACTGCCAAGACATCATACCATCTTTATGATGTTTTAGGGCTTGAATTTGATTTCTTAACATCTCGTGTAAAGGATTCACAACCAGGGCTCTGTTTTGGAGTGTCTGGATCTCCTCTCTGCATGTTTTTATTCCTTGTTGGTTGTATGGCTCATTCATTTAAAGGGGCCACACCTTTTGAAGGGTTAGCTCTATCAAATTGAAACTGAAGAAATTGGCAATATTATTCTCAAATACTGTGTATCTCACCTCTTAGAAGAATTCACATGGATCTAGTGATTAACTTGTGTTTTGTATCAGAAACCTCCTGTTTCTAATACCATGGGAAATCTATAACCAAATCTAAGGAATCAATTGTCCTTAAAAGACTATGTTTAATCTTTGATAACGTGGAAGCATGTCTTTTTCTGTTAATTTAAAAAAATCACCCTTGTGACAACATTTTTTTTCTTTGATGAATAAGAACAATAATAGACTTGACTGATTCTATTTTTTGATTTTTGAAAACTAAAAACACAGACTTGATAAAAAAAAAGGGGAAAATATTTACATATCCCGTATTTTTAAGTTTCATTTCTTGATAAACCCAAGGTTTCAAAAGATATATTCTAACCCCTGACCACTTTAAACCTATTTTTTAACTTAAACAAATGTGAGAAAGATATGCTATTTCTAAACTCAATCATTTATCTCTCTTCACTTATAAATCCCAAACTTCTATCTTTCTTTCTCTTCATGTGTCATTGACTCTCTCTCTCCTCCCGTCTTTCTCCAAACACCTCTCTCTCTGCTCCCCGTAACCGCTCACCTCCATGAAGCCCTTTTCTCTCTCTAGAAGTTTGGGAGGATGACTTTTAAAAAAGGCATATCTTTTTAGATTTCTTTGGCCTAAAAAAACAGTGTTTAAATTAGCTCAGGGGGTTAGAAGAAATAAAATCTTCAATTTTTATGCCCCAAGATATCTTTTAAAACCTTGAGCCTATTGTGAAATGAAACTTAAAAATTGGGGGCATGGAGATAGTTTCCCCAAAAAAAAAACCATTACGAAATGTTTGTTTTATCATGAAAGGAAAAAAACTGTGGGCTCTCTTTGTCGACTTTTTTGTGTACTTTCATTCATCTTGTTTGCTCATTGTGGTGGTTCTTTTGATTTCCATTTATTTTAATTTGATACTTAGGCTAGGCTCCTTTAATTTCTACAAAGGTTATCACTTCTTGTTACAGGGTTGCATTCTTAGTGGTAACTATTCTATTCAGAACCCTGGTTAACTTGTTCCCTATAACATGCCATGGGAACAGGTTCTGACCTATCCAAACAAAACGGCAAGGGGGTTAAAAGAACGGGACACTGCTCTGGAACTATGAGGATCCCTCTAATGACATTACATCGAGGAGGAGCCTTGCCCGATATGGAGTCGCAAATTCATTATTTGGAGACGGAGGCATATAGTGCTGTTTTGAAGGCTTTCATTGCTCAGTCTGATTCTCTCTCATGGGTAATTGCTTGTTCCTCATGGTCCATGAATTGCTTTCAATCTTTTTGGTTGCTATAACCCAAATAATGCTTTGAAATCATTCTATCTGTACTATACCATAACATACTGATAGTTTATATACTTCTCTTTCTATTGTGAAAGTTTTGGTCGGGTTTTTCTCTATTATTCTTGCTTCACAATCGCACATGCATTGCATGTAAATTGTTAAGTGAAAATAAATGTATTATTGAAAAACAATTTGCAAAAACCCTAAAAGAAAGAAAAAATAAAAAAAAAACAATAGTGCAAAAAGGAGAAGAAAAGAAAGAAAAAATAAAAACAATATTTCAATATAACTACCACTAAATTTCTGGTTTCAAGTGCTAGAGTTTGGTATTAGCACGCAGGAAAGGAGTTACACCAGCAAATCTTCATGTGGGTTAGAGATATAGAGTTAAAGCTCACAGTTACACACACACACAAGGGGGGTGGGAGAGGTGGTTGTGTTTCGTGTGTGTTCATTCTCTGTATGCGGTGCTTCACAGGGAAAAGAAGGGCTTATAACTGAGCTGAGGAGGGAACTCAGGGTTTCAGATGTTGAACACAGAGAACTCCTTGGGAGAATCGATTCAGATGAGACTATTAGGAGGATAAGGTATGTGATAAAAATGTAGCTTTGTCAGTTCCCTTCTTATGTGCTTTTGTTGCCTCTTTATTTCATTTTATTTATCTTTTAATTTGAAACAGGGATTGGCGTGAAGGTGGTACCAAGGAGCCTGGTGCGCTAGGGCAAAGGGTTACATTCAAGAAGAGACCTGCATCATCTTCCGCAGAACAACTTCACCAAACTCAGTCTTTGATGCTTACTGATCCTTCCCATCGTGGAGCTATTCCTTCTCCATTTACCGTAAGTAAAAAGTCTACTAGGACAAATAATTTGTTGGTACGCAGATGGTTTACCTTCTTGTATTCAATGATGTTTTGTTAGTTTTGGGAAGATAAAAAGTTATCTAAGAAAAATATATTGAGAACTGAGAACTGCATAATTTAAAGGTCTGTTACTCGCTGTGCTTTACGTGCATACCAATATGTTGTTGCAAATTTTATTTAAGTATCCTTAAGCTACTAAAGAATTTCATTTGGCCCTAGAGCTGCTTTTTATTGGGTCATTGATGTAGGATTGATGATTTTTCTTTTATAAAAATTGCTGCAGTAAGGGGAGCACTGATTTATTTCATTTGATTAAAATTAATGAAAGTACTTTATATTTCATGGATGTAGTATGTGGCATGCTAGTATCTCGGGCTGGCAAAATTGTTATGGTTTTTTGTTGTGGGTCAACAAAGTTCTGTGATCTTCATGTGGTTCAACAATGATCTGTTAACTGCAACCTTGATACATACACTTTTCCAAATGATTATTTTAAAGGGAAATTATATTCTCTGTCCTTCCTCATTTGGTCATGTGTATGTGTGTACTTTCTAAAATTGATCGTACTCTTCTCTTGGTGCTACTCTTCTCCCCTAAATGACTAAATTGTTAGTTTTTGTATTGCTGAGTTGACACCTTTTTTTTGTTCAGTGGTAGGATACAGACTTCCAATTAGTTGGGAAAAGGCTTTGATGATGATGATTATGATGATGATGATGATGATGGTATGATAGAGACTTAGGGTTTAGAATTACAATTGTCAACTACCAACCAATCAAACACGTGCCTGATTCATGATTACATACTAAATGTGGGCCATGTTGGTGTGAAAATTGCATTATTGTTAGTGTCCTGAAGCTTCGGACCATTAGGGCTTTAATGTTCCATACTTTTGATTTTATGCGCTTAAAGACTGTTTCATTTAGCTGGTCATATAATAACTGATTATTGCCAAAGTTAGCTTTACTTCAAAGAGTAGGTAATGCTACTTTTAGGTGATTGTGGTGGCCATTTATTTCCACAAAATGTGAATTATTTAGAGCTTTGCTTATGTTGTGCAGGTACCTGATGTGAAGAACGGGAGACATGGGGGTGACATGGTCCTTAAAAGGCACGATAGGATCGAGATACGTCAGACTGATAGGCTTATCTATGAGGTGAGGTGTATATAATTGTTAGATTATAGTGCTCATCTTCGACCATAATATTAATAAGACATTAGGATTATATTTGCATATGCATGCAGTCTCCACCTTCTGATATGTAATATACTGCTGAGTACTACGAGGTGATGATAGAGGTGGAAATCAACTATTCTTCTGCTTGAGTGAACAATGACGAAGGATTGGTTCATCTTCCCTGTCCATCTTTGACATGGATGGTGGATATCTGCATGTGATAGTACAAACAGTATCAAACAGTATACTGCATTTAGCATGATGGACTTCCCCAATAAGACTGTTGAGTTTGGTATTATTTGAATGCGCAAAGCATTTATGGGCAAGGGCAGAATAGATATTTGTTTAGAAATCTTGGGCATTTTGTCAGCTGCTGAATCCAAATTTGTTACCTTCAACAACTAACAAATGCCTGTTCAATTCGCGTACATAATGATTATGCGATAGGATGCGTCTAGATGAGTGTGCTACAATTTTCACACTTTGAGTTCACTAAGTGTTGGCAACTCTTTTTTCTTTGTTTTTTTTTGTGGGAGCATGTTAACGTCGTAAGAATGGACCATTTGATATCACATTTGGGCTCGCCGCTCAGACCACCTATGCCGGGGGCTAGGGCAGGCAGTGGGTTGGGTCTAGCTGGACCCATACTCGTACCCGAGATAGAACATGTATACCCAGATCCGGACCTGATGGGTCCAAAATTCGAGTACCCGTACTCGTACCCGAGGGAACCCTTTGGACCCGGGACCCGGACCCGTACCCGACTGAGAAAATGCATCCCCTGCAAAATGAGAAGATAGCATCATCGCTGAGAAAATGAATCACTGAGAAAATGCATCATTGCTGTTCCTAAAAATACATCCCCTATACATTGAGTCCCTAACACTAAAAAACCCTCATTCCACTTAAAAAAATCTGGAGAAATTTCTCCTATGGAAGTCCCTGCAAAAACCAAGATCAAGCACCAGATCTTCACCAGAATCCATCCTTTTGCCCTAAGATCTGGTTTATCCGACAAGTTCTCATCATCTTCTCTGGTTAGTTCACAAGTCCAATAGAAGTTTAAACCCTGACCTCGACAAGCCATCGATGCATACAGCGACAAAGGGTATCAAAATAGGGAAAACAAAAAGAGAAGATAGCAACACGATGAAACGAAGATGAAAGCTCACCTGGTTCTTATGGTGGCGGTATGCCGATGGCACGGGATTAGGGTTTTCAGGGGGAGGGGCTGCAGCAACCAGGGTTGGAGTTTTGGGGCTCCATGTGATTGAAAACCTAAGATAAGCTAATCCTCAAGCTATTTTGTTCATTGAAAATAAATGAGGGATAAGAGAAAAAATGAATTTTACTCATAAAACCCCTTTCTCTCTCTAATATTTTTGCTCTTTCTCGCGCTACCCGTTCCCTCTTTCTCTCTCTAATATCTATCTTCCTCCTCTCAGTACCCTCTCTCTATAGAGTATCTATCTTCTCTTATTTCTTGGGCATTCTGAGTCGGTGCCGCACCACTCTGTTAGAACAGAGCGAGAGGTTTGGGTAAAACTAAAACCCTAAAAGAAAACTTAAAACTAACGGGTTTGGGTTGGGCATGTGGCGGGTACACCCATACCCGTACCCAAAACTTTTCGGGTACACCTTGTAGGACCCGGATGCTACCCGCGGGTCCAAACCATACCTGGACCCGTGTCGGGTATACCTGTCAGGAATGGGTCGGGTCTGGGTCTGGGTCTGGGTCCATTGCGACCCCTAGCGGGGGCTCAATCCTATGTGTTGGCAACTCCTATTAATAATTTTACTTGAAAGGCTTTGAAGTTAGGATATGAAGAAGTTTTACTTGAAAAAGACTCAGACGTTTGAAAATGAAGAGAGAACAATCTGTTATTCGTTCTTCTAATGGAATAACTATCACATTCTTTTAGAGTTAGTGTTTGGGAACTTCCCCGAGTTGACTCGCAGCCTGCCAAGCTCGGAATAGGGTACAAGTAGCACTCGAGCAAGTACTGTACTGGTCACATTTTTTTTTTTGGCCCGCCGGGGGGGGGGGGGAGTGGTTGTGAATCTGTCCCCTTTGCTTTCATTTTTAAAGATTGTTGGACCTAGGGTGTCCAAGTTGAGCTAATTTTTCGTATTTAACAAGATTTTTGCCTGATCTATCTATTAGATGCATTAGATTTGAGAAGAAACCATATGAAGGATTTGAGAGATTGATAAGTTCTGGCCAAGTTTTTATTCGATTTTAAAAATTGTGATTTCTTCGCAATGGATATCAATCTTCGATGAAAGTTGATCCCTAGGCCATTTATGTGTTCTTCATCCAACCGTAGGCTGATTTTCACAAAAAAAATGAAAAATTAGGATTTGAGATCTTTCAAATTCGGATTTACCATTCATCCAAAATCTTCACAAGTTCAGATCTCCTAGATCTGAAAGTAGAACCCAAATTTAGTTTAGGGGTTTTGATTGGGATTTTATAAGGAAGCTTTGACGAGGATTTGAGGCTTCAATTCGCTTGAAGAGATAAGACTGGGTTATTAATGTCGAGATTTTGGGTATGTTTCAACCTTTTTAATTTAATTCATAAAATTTATTTATTTTGACTAAATCAAGTGTAATCAATTTATAATCCATTTGTATATACACTTTTATGTTTTCTATATTTTAGTTTTTTTCTATTTTTTCCTTTTTAGGGTATCTGTTTTTTTTTTGTAAGTCAATAACATTATCTTTTCACTATTCCATGTTTTATATGCTTTTTTTGTTATTTTGGATTTTTATTTTTTTGGATTTTCATATTTTTTAGTTTTTTCCCTTTTTTGGCCTCGTTTTTTAAGCTTATGCAGGACTCGGGTGAGTTGACTTGGACCTGCCCAAGTTACCCGGCTTGGCAAGGGCTGAGTTCCTTGCCTGAGCCGTGGAAACACTGTTTTTAAGTTGTTTCTTTTAAAAGCTTGCGTATTTACTTCTTTCATTTTAAGAAGTTTTTCTGCTAACATTTAGTTGCTTGGTATTGCAGATCGAGAGGGTGTGTGGAGTAGCTAATCCTGATCCAGTTCAAGTAGAGAAGGCAAAGTTGATCCTCAGGGTCAGTTTATCTTTTCTTACATGTCTTTTCATATGGGAGGGAAGGAGGGAGGGGAGGGGAGGGGAGGGGAGGGGAGGGCTGGAGGGAGGGAGGGAGGGGAGCGGCGGTAGGGAGTGAGGGAGGGAGGGGAGCGGCGGTAGTGAGTGAGGGAGGGAGCGAGATGTTTTAATGCTTTAGCCTTTTCCTTCTTCTGGTGCAGGAACATGAGCTCTCACTTCTTGCAGCAATCGCCAAACTCGATGATCTGTCGGATGGGGGTGAGATTTGGCTCGCTGTTCCTAAATGTTTACAGTTTTTTCCTTAATAAAAACACAAAATGTTACTGTATATCCAAGTTTTTAATATTCCTGTACGTTTCAAGATGGCATTTTATTTCTCTTTCTCACCCACACGCTATGAAATGTTGTTATGTGAGTTTTAGAAATTACTTGAGCCTGGTAATCAGAATCTCAGATCAGTGAAAAAGAGAACCATCTTGACATGAGAAGAGGAAGAAGGGGGAGGGCGGATGGACCCCTGGGGCACAGTCTCAAGCCCCATCACTGACCCATCCATCCTGAGGCCATCCTCCACAGTAACCCTACTCACCACAATTCCCACAGTAACTATATCCACTGCTCTCTGACCACACCCACAGTGAAACCTACCCCCAACAGTAGCCCTACTCATTAGCATCCTTCAATCCTCCCCTCCCTCCCAAACAGAAGGAATTCTTTCGAAGCAAGAATTGTACCCCCACCATATAGTGCTCAATACTCCCGAGAAACAGATAATATTCCTTGGCAACCGTGGTCTGCTATTAGTCCCCCTTTGCCAACACTACATGACCATTCCAAGTTAATCCACCCAGGAAGCCATAACGACGTAGCCACATACTGCAACTACTCTCTAATCCTTCTCCTAGCACAAATACACTTCTGCTCATTCTATCGACCCTGTCCAACTCTCCCTTATAACTCTGAACTCAGATTTCATCGCCAAATCAGTAATCCTGTTGATTGCACGGTTGATCTTCCCAATCCACTTCTAACACGGCCATGATGCAGTTCCTTCCACCATCAGTCCCTCTAGCAATTGCTAGACCAGAGCAAGGCAAGTCCAGAGAGGTCGATGAAGAAGGGTGGCAGGTGGTGGAGCGCCAGAATCGCCCGGAAACAAACCCCCACCCCCCCCCCCCGGCCCTTGTCTTCTTTTTTCTTCCCCCAGAAAAAAAAAAAAAAGTCACCAAAATCCCTTGTTAAAATTACAAACTCATCCTCGTTGGATTTCATACTGAATTTTATGGCTTTCATGAATGAAGGCCACTTATCCCAGATGCTTTGAGGAGCAAGGCTAAGGGTAGATGACCAGAGAGCCAAGAGGCCTCTCTAGTACAATAAACTAAAATCTTTGCTAACCCCCTCCTTTGAGTGGTCCTTAGTTCAGCTGTCTCACTAAATCAGGGTGCTTTTGTGAAAGACCACATCATGTTTGGTTGGGACTTTGATGGCACATGAGCGTATACACTCTTGGAATTAGACTAATCAGTCCAAATTACCAGGCCTTTTATTCAAGTTAGACTGGGGAAAGGCCTATGACCATGTAGAGTAGGGCATTTTCTACATGGTCCTAGAGCTTATGGGGTTTGGGGCAAGGTGCAGGAGGTGGTTTCAGGTTTCATATTCTCACTGTGTTTCATGGTCCTTAATAATGGTTTTCCTTAGCTACCCAAAACAACCATCTCTGGCAGGAGGTGATCAACTCAAAATACCACAGTTCTGAACCCTCGTGGGTACCCTCCCGATGAGCGCATAGCAACTCCTCGGGGATATGGAAGTCCATACTGCATTCTTTCCTACACTTTCAATCCATGATCAGGTACAGGCCTAGGCAGGGCGACAAAACGTTGTTCTGGATCGATACTTGGCTGGAGAATGCACCCCTTAAAGACCTGTACCCTAGACTTTTCCTATTGGCCAGTGACTTTAATGCAACTGTGGAATCCCAGTTTTAGCTTATGGGCAACAGGAGGGTGTGGAGTCCTACCCTCAGAAGACCACACTCGGATCCAGAATTTCAGGAATTCACAGCCCTTTCCATCACTCTAAACTCTGTCTTCCTGCCCCTTCGAGGCCAAGATAGCCTCATCTGGACCCTCGACCACTCGGTGGCCTCCTCCTACTCTTCTCTAGCTCATCCCAGAAGCCCCCCTACTTGCCCCAATTCTATTGTAAACAAAGTTTGGATCCCTTTGGTTCCTCCCAGGATTCAATTCTTCAATTGGATAGCTGGATCCGAGAGAGCACTTACTGTAGATCAATTGCAGAGAAAGGGTCTCCAAATCCCAAATAGATGCATTATGTGCACTGAGGACGAAGAGACCAATGCTCACCTCTTCATCCATGGCAAGGTAGCCTCGTCTACATGGGCTAACATCCTTCAGTTATTCCAATGGCAGTGGGTGCTGGCCTAAGGCCGGCACCCTGCTGTGGCAGGCCTCGGTGGCTGCCACCCTTTGGACAATCTAGACTGAGAGAAATGCCAGAATTTTTCGAAGCCAGTCATCTCCGGTGAATGCACTAGTAGAAAAGATCAGAGAAGCAGTCATCTTCTGGGCCACTCACCACAAACAGTTAAAAAACCTTTGCCACTCTGACTTTCTCCACGGCTGGACTCCCATTCTCTCCGTCAAAACTCAGAGGCCATCACGCTCTTCCCTTTGGAGACCACGCGAAGAGGGCCACATCAAGCTTAACTTCAATGGGTGTTCTATCGGAAACCTAGGCCAGGCAGGCATAGGTGGCTTGTTCCGCGATCACAACAGCAATACCCTTTGCTCCTTTTCTATTCCCACTGGTTTCTCTGATTCAACAATTGTGGAGGCCTCTGCTCTCTGGGAAGGCCTCAGGAAGTTAGACACTAGGTGGGGGCAGTATGTAACCTTTGCAGGCGACTCTTACAGTGTTATAGCCTGGGCCTCAGGCACTGACCCCTGGCCTTGGAGGCTTGACAGCATATTTGAAGAATCTGTCAACTCACAAGGAATCTACAAATCTTGTGGAATCACGTTTGGAGAGAAGCAAATGGTGAGGCCGATTCCCTAGCAAAGGCAGCTGCAACCTTTTCTCAAGCCAACTTGAGCAACCCTTACGGAACCTTTGCTCGACTCCCCAGCACAGATTGGACTTGATATAATGGCTCAATTCATGTCAAGCTTTTTTGATACACCCTTGGTTTTGTACAGGGCACCCGTTTGTGGGTTGCTTATTTTTTGGGTGGAGTATTCTGCCCCCCTCTCCTCTCACATTTTGTCACTTTCGGTTCAATACAGTCAACATATTCAAAAAAATAATAATGGTTTTCCTTAAAGGATACTTCTCCTCTTCATGGGGCTGCAAACCCCTTCGTTTTCTCTATTGTAGGGGAAGTCGTCAGCATGTCCTCACTAACCTCTAAAGTGAAGACCTTCCCAAACGGTCCTCTCATTGTCAAGTATTTGGCCTCCCAATTTCCTGGCTATGTATGCTGATGTGGACAGCCAAGTTTAGGTGTTTCTAACTCTCTATTGACTCAAGATAAACCTGGCTACGACCAAGATGATGGGTTAGTTCCAATAACGAGCTAATGTTGGCTAGGAGGCTTGGTTGTGGAGAGAACTATTACTCAGCAAATACCTAGGTCTCCCACACTGCCTTGGCAAACCTAGAAAGACAGAATGTGATGTGATGGTCGAAAAGTTCGAGAGGAGGTTGGTATCCTAGAAAGCAAGATTGAAGCAGGATTACTCTTATCAAGCCACCTCTCCAACATACAGTTAACCACATGTCTCTTTTCAGGATGCCCGTGTCCATTCTTAATAGGCATGTGCACCTGATGAGAGAATTATTATGGCCTGATTCTGATGGGTGAGTGAAATTTTACTTCCCAAAGAGGGATTTCATGTGCAATTCTAAGAGGGAGGGTTGGTTGGGTATAGAAAGACTTATAGAGCAATGCCCTCGTTCTATAAGTGGTGCTGGTGGTTTGCATTACAGAATGGGCTACGGCAGCAAGTTATTCAGAATATAAGTATGACTTGGATGAGTTACGTTTGTTACCAGTGGGTTTCTTAGTTGTTCGAGGGTTGGTGCCTGGATGACCATATCCATTGTCTATGAAGAGATCTCCCATAGAACCCATCTTACGCCGGCAATGGTCGCCCAGTTTAGATCATGGAAGGGCTTAAGGGCAGGGGAAAGTACTCTGGAAAGCCTCTTCCTTGCTAGTTCTCCCTCGGCACAAATCAAAATGTCACAATCAAGCGATCCCACAAGGTGCTTGGGGGTCAATTAATTTAGGCCCCTACTTTTAGGAGAAATCTTCAGGACACGGAGGTCTCAGATTGGCAACCTTCTTACACCTACTCAACAACCAGTTCATACCATGAGAGGGAAAAGACAGGTGGAAGGCCTTCTAATAGTAGTTCAGTTACTGCTATTGGGCATTGGGTTGGTACTAGGGGCCGCTACGCCCTCTGGCATCTTTCACACTCTAATGTATAATGAATTGACAGCCACAAAGAGCTGGTCGGCCACTGGGAAAAAGGCCTAGATCATCCCTGTTCCCCATAAAATCAAGGCATTTAATTGGCTTGTAATAATAGATCAAATACAAAGGAGAGGTATCCTGCTTCCTAACTGGTGTTTTTTTCAAGCAGGCTGAGGGAACTATGGACCCCTTATTCGTGCCTTGCGTAGTGCCAGGTGTGGTTTTCAAGCAAGCTGAGGGAACTATGGAACGCTTATTCATGCCTTGCCTAGTGCCAGGTGTGGGTCACTGCATGGGGTTTCTTTGAATGGTAGTGGGTGTGGCCAGAAAGTGTTCAGCAGCTCTTTTCAGCATACTTATGCAACTGTTTCCTAGGCTGGTCTCTTCCTATGGCTTGCATCCATCATGGCTTTGTTCTGGTCCTCATGACTTGAGGTAACACATAAATTTCTGAAAGCAAGGAAAGGCATTTGGATATTTCGTGGGATAAGATTAGAATCTAGATTGAAAAAAAAAGGATAACATTGGAACCACTGCATTTTTGTGGTGTGAAATTGGAAGCATTTCTCGGCCTGGTCTCATCCGACTTCATAGAAAATGGGGAAAGCGTCCTAGGCACTGACAGATGGTAGTTAGCAGATATGACCTGTGGACTCCAGCTACCATTGGGATCATCAAGCTCAATTTGAACGGATTCTCTGTAGGAATTCCAGCCCCCTGGGGAGTGGAAGGGTACCGTTAGATCCATTTGTCAGAATGCTTATTTTCTTATTCGGGTCCCATCAGTGTGTTGATCTCTACAGAGGCCGAGGTGGTGGCTCTGCTGGAATAGATGTTCGACCAATTTTTCCAGTAACCTTTAGACAACCTTTATATATCCTACTAGCACATCTGGCACGCCGCAAATGAGAGGCAAATGTGGCTCTGCTGATGCCCTAGCTAAGGATGAAGGTGCTGGCCATAGTTTTATACTGAATTGTCATCAGTTATAGCCATACCATTTTTCTGTTTTCCACTGTACAAAATGTTTGCGTTTTTGTTTTTTGGTTGTGCAGGTGTGGCATTGACAATTAGAATCATAAATAATTTGTAAATCTCTTTACCAGTAATACAAAAAGTCAATTTTATTTTAAAAAAAAGAAATTACTTGAAACTTTGTAGCTGCCTTTTCATTTCTTATCATTATTGCATTTTTCCTTATTCATGTGTTCTGAAAAATGATCATGTATGAGGTCTTCTGTATTTGGTTGAGGGAGTTCTCTCCCAAACCTGTAGATTGGACATGGTGGTTGCTAGAAGTAGGTTGGTAGTTATTGGGTAGGTGGAGGGAAGTCTAGAATATTCAATATGTGCAGATGACGTTTCCTATAGTGCTTTAAGATCACCGCAGTTGTCAGATCCCAGCAAGGAACAGCTAGGCTCTCTTTCCCCTCCAAATTTGATGGATTTGACAAATTTTGCAAGGAGGAACAACAGCGATTGTCCTTTGTTGAATCTGACGGCTGGGATGACTTTAAATATAGTTTAAACTGTATTTCTTTTGAGTGGCACTCCAACCTATGGCGTTTGAAATGAACTAATGGATTATGTAATTTTGCCTCTAGTTAACACGCCCGGCCGAGGTCCAGCTAACCAAGAAGAAGAAGAGGATGGAGATGAAGAAGGCTCATGACATCTTGGAAATGCAAGCAGTGCTCTCACTAATTCTCTCTCTTGCTAATCCTTCTGATCTAACCATTGGTTGATGTAGAAATGTGCTAGTGTTAACGGTTGCTGTAGGGGAAATGGGAAACATACTCCATAATTATTTTTTGGGGGTTTGGTGTACAGGAGTATATAGCTTACATCTGCTGTTTATTATCGTGGCACGGTTTGATCGGTTTGTTTATCATGGTTTTGGGGATTTTTCATTAGAATTTTGTTGTACAGGGATTGTCTTTTGTTCATGCTGAATGTCACCATGGGTAGTTATCAGTTTCTTTTAACTTCACGCTCTTCAAAGGAAATCTCTCTCTCTCTCTCTCTCAATTCCTGCCCATTTGGTGGTTGAGTTCTGAGCAAAATCGTTCTAAGGCAGTTTCGAGTTGATGATTTTTTAGATTCTTTTTAAAGAGACCTCCAAATGGATCGCCCCCAAGAAATGCAGCGACTAGGGATCTCCTCCAAAGGGATCTTCATTCCAACTAATCGACTTGTCCTCCAAATGGTATTGTTTTATTTGGCTTTATGGATCCAGAAAAAGTTTCTATATGATAAAAATTTAACGTGTAGAAGTAAGATTGCAGTAATCTACATCAAATATTGTATTTGTATAGTGTAGATTTTACGATATTTTATAAGGCATGTTAAATTTATAGATTTTAAATAACATTCAAAATCGTGATATGGCAATATCTTAAAAGACATGCTAAATTTGAGGAGACTTAAATTTACATATAGGGAAAATCCTCTATCCACATGATGGGTAGTGGAAGGGTGCACATGCACCTTTCTATGGTTCGGATTGAGCCACACTACAACTAATGGTTCAAATACACCACATTTAACAATTCAAATTTAATTTTGTATTTTATTTTAATTGTTACCTAAAATTTAGGTGTACATTTTTTTCTATAAGTTGATGCAAATAAATATAATAAAAAGTTTAATTTCAATAAAATAGTTGACCAAATACCTCCATAACTTTCAGGGGTACTTAAATCAATTTATTTCATTCAATATATCTTTTATTGTTTTTATTTTCTATGGAATTTTAAAATAAATATATATCTTAAATTTCAGGTAAAAATAATTTTAAAATTTAAAAAATTAAAAATAAATTTAATTTTCGATGGTTCAAATATGACATGGTCCAATATGAACCGTTGAAGCCCACATCATGTGGATGCTATAATGTTCTTTTGACATTGCCAGTTCATATAAACCGCAACCTATGAGCCTTTGCACTTAAATTTCTCCACGCTACTTTTACAGTTAAATTTCTCGACGCATACATGTGTATGCAATGAGTAGTAGTGTAGTACACATCATTGGTCTTGCTGTTGACATCTGACGGTAAAGGATGATGTCAAACAAAAATAAGAAGCTCAAAAAAAAAAAAAAATTCTTGCCATTTCAAATTTCTCTACAAGTTATAAGGGAATTTTAGTTATTTTTCTTTTAAAAAATATTTGTTCTTATTGTTATTCGGTGTGCAGGGATGCCCCGAGTTTCATCTAAAAATTATTTGTAAGAAAAGATTAAAAATCAAATACTATAATCTGTCGATGCCCACGTACTATGATTTAGAGCTACAACAACTTGTGTTATATGTGGGTGGTGCCACATGTATAAGTTCCTTTTATCAAAATTTCCCCAAAATTTCAACAATTACGACTCACTACAAGTCATAATTAATGTCCTTTGATAAATATTTTCAAATTAAATAGAAAGAAATGAGCTAATTGATGAGCAAATTATTGCACTATCCACCTCCTGAGTGCTTTTCAAATCATTTCCTCCTTTTTTTCTAATGAGGGTGTATACTATACTCCCGCTGTAGCTGACTGTACAATTACTTCATGCGGTAGAAGACTAACTGACTGAAAATTTTGGGACAACCTGAAAATCACAAGATGATTGTATTCAAAATAAAAACATTGAATTTTGAGTTGGAAAATTGTTTCATGTGGGTTGGACCACATTTCTACATATGCGATCCAAAGTGTAAAGCATCCATTTTAAAGATGGATGCAAGTAGGTGTTCCATCAAAAAACAATGAAAACCACCGGTTCAAATGTGTTTTTTCTAAAAGTGTTATTTTTAGTTTTTAAAACTTATTTTCTCATATTCATGATCTCCATGTTAGACATTACATATCCTTAAAAATTAAGTCTTAAATCCATCTCAAAAATAGACTTATTGAGAGGCCTGACCAGGTCCTTCTGAGTATTCTAACACTTGTATCTCACCCTACAAAAAAAAATTGACAATAAAATTTTATTGTCCAATTTTTTTGAATGGCGGTTTGTATTTATAGACTTGAGGCATTATTGTTTTCAAACTATAGAATATGGTTGAAAACGTAACATCCCAAAATTCGCTGTGTTAAGCCTTATTTTTAGATTCGATTTTATCCGAGGGAGTAAATAAACAGTCTGCTCCCTTGAGGGCATAAAATCTTTTGGCACGTATAATTCACAGTATACTGCCTTGGTCACACAAGTGGTGTACCTTGCCACAATGATTTTCCCAGCTCTTTCCAAATATGTCATGAAATATGTTACTGTATTTTTATGCTTCCACAGGAACACGGAACACGCTCTTCTTTATTCATGACGGGCCAAAGGACTATTAATGCCTGTTTAGATGCCATATATTATCATTTTCTGAATGAATAATGCCGCAGACCCATTTTGTAATGTGACTTGGACAACAAAAGCGACTGCAAGTTATTTACTTTTGATACAAAAAATATCACAATCACTCTCAAGTTTCAACCGTTAAGTATTTATAAAGTTCGAAATTTTTTTGGTTTAGACTATGAGCCTGGTGAATAACATTCTGGTTGCAAAAAAACACATGTACAAGCGTTCAACTCATTGCAGTAGTTTGTCCTTGGATAAGGCATATTGTGCCTTGAGGCTTCTCTTTTTAAAAACGTGGTGCCATTTTTTATTTAAACTTTTGCTCTTTATTAATTTGAAACTTCTTTATGTCGAATGAAAAAGAAGTCTCACAACATAAATCTCAATTGCAGCTATAAGTTATGGTCCTCAATATATAATTGGAAGTCAATGAAGTTCACTCAGTTTAGAGTGGGGTGAGGACCCCTAATCTTGGTAAGAGTTGAGCTTAGAATACAGCGTTGCAAATCATCAAGCACTAACCAATTAAGCCCGGGTTCTTTTTCTAGAGAGTTCAGACTCTTTGGAGCAATAGAACCGGGTTCACCATGGGCCCAACCTCTTCCTTTCTTTTTTTCTTTATTTTTATTTTTATTTTTTATTATGGTTAACATAAATTCATTAAATAAAGCAGATTGTAAAAAGTGTGGTGTACAGAGCAAAAAAAAAAATGTCCAAAGAAGTGGAGGAGGATAGAGCAAAGAAAGTAGAAGAAAGAAAAGAAAAGAAAAGAGACCAAAAAAAAGAGCCCGCTTTGCTAGAGAATCAGCCGCGCTATTCCTCTCCTGATAAACATGACAAAAGTCCACTTCCCTCTGAGACAGCCCGAACATAATCTCATCAAACACTCCTCTGAGATCTCACGGCAGCTTCATAAGGTCCTTGCACCAAGTTATAACATTCATGAGTCTCTTGACCCCATTCTTCAGGGCGCGGCGCAACCTCTTTCCCTTCATTTTTTTCCCTCGTTTTCAACTGTGTTTACCATCAAGGGCATTTTTATTTGAAATAAATCTAAATTTTTTCTTTGGGGTGGCTGCAAATAAAAACAGTAAATAAAGTTTATGTTGGTGTAAATAAAAATCAGCTGCGGGACCTATGTGTACAATCTACTAAGCGAGTACCTTTACGTAATTTTTTTCCTTATTTTTATAAGACATCATGGATTTACAGGTATTATTTGAAAAATGGAAAATATTTCATCCCCTCTTGGGCATATTGCTAGATCGATTTGCCCTTATACAGCGGCTTGTCAAGAGGGGGTAAGGTCCTGTTGAGTTCTTAAGTCTTCGTATCTACAATCCAGTTCATTCAATTACTACAGGGATGAGTATTTTGCCTTACCCAAAATAGGCACTGACCCATGAAAAAAAAATTCAAAAGAAAAATATTTGTAAAGTAGTTTTCTTGACTTGATAAGTGCATGCACTTAGGTATATAGCTATTTAAAAACTCTAAATTAAATCGTTTTTACTTGTGTATCTACTATCTAGTGATGACAAAGCAATCTACAAAATTGAGGATTAAAAAAGTCCCTGCACGCAGGCCCCCAAGTCTCGACATAGCAATGTTTTTTCTTTCTTGAAATGTGCTGTCGTCAACCCATTTTCATGTCCACTCGATTTTTCCCCCAAAAAATTTCATTCTCTTACTCTCTCTCTCTTCGTTGTCTTTTTTTCTGTTTCTATTTATTTCATTTTTATTTTTTAATTCCAGAGTTATACCGGAGGATAAAACTCTAATTCACTACAACAGTTGCAGGGTGAGAAGCTTCTGCCACTCTTTACTCATTATTATGGCTCTTTTGAGGTCAAACTTGTGTAATCCATTTATTGTCCATTTTTTCAGTATTTTATGAATATTTGAAGTATTAATGGCGAACATTTTCGAATGAACGATTAATTGCCAAAGAATTCCAAGAAAAAACTAGTTAACGCTACAATGGTCGGATTCCTAATACAAATGGCGGATTATTCAGAAAAAGATGCCCTTTGTTTGCTATTTTGAAATTTAAATTACGTCAGATTTTGTTTTTATGCCATTATATGTACTTGGATTCCCTTCTTTGGGACTTTGAATGATGAAAATTGAATTTTTTAAGAAAACTAAAAATTAAATGATAAAATGGTGGATTTATGACGGTTTAGGTTAAATTCTAGCTTATTAAATATAGTTTATAAATATATATATATATATATATATATATATGGAAAATACTACAAAACGCCTATACGAAAAAATGAACAGTGATTTTGTATGCCTTCATCACCATCCAAATTTCATCGTACGGTCACAATTATCTGATAATGTTTCATTTTTTATTTTTATTTTTACAAATTGAAATGACCTAAAATTTAAAGCATGTTATAAAAAATAAATCTAAAAAAAATATCAAAAAAAATTTTTACATGAAAAAAATGATCAAAATACCCTCGAAAAGTTTTGAGATTTGTAAAAATAAAATAAAAAATGAAACACTGTCGAACAATCATAACCATGCGATGAACTTTGGAACGTGATGAGGGTAAGCAAAATCACTGTTCGTGTGATTTCGCCTACCCTCATCACCGTCCAAAGTTCATTGCACGATCACGATTGTCCGACAGTGTTTCATTTTTCATCTTTTTTTACAAACCGAAATGATCTGAAATTTAGAACGTGTATTCATCAAAAATATGTGAATTTACGACAAATATAAAAAAAAATATTTTACATGAAATAAATTGACCAAAATACCCCCAAAAAGTTTCAAAGGTATTTTGGTCAATCTTTTTAAAAAATTATTATTTTTTATTTTTTTATTAAATGTGCCTCACTAAAATGTACACACACTCCAAATTTCAGATCATTCCAATTTATAAAAAAAAAAAAAAAAAAAATTGAATAATACTGGACAATCATAACCGTGTGATGAACTTTGGTTAGTGATGAAGGTTGGTGAAATCACTGTTTATT